ATCCTCCCTTCTTCACGACGCTCTACTCTCCCAGATCCTCCCTTCTTCACGACGCTCTACTCTCCCAGATCCTCCCTTCTTCACGACTCTCTCTCTCTCTCCCAGATCCCCCCTTCTTCACGTCTCTCTACTCTCCCAGATCCCCCCTTCTTCACGACGCTCTACTCTCCCAGATCCTCCCTTCTTCACGACTCTCTACTCTCCCAGATCCTCCCTTCTTCACGTCTCTCTACTCTCCCAGATCCCCCCTTCTTCACGACGCTCTACTCTCCCAGATCCTCCCTTCTTCACGTCTCTCTACTCTCCCAGATCCTCCCTTCTTCACGACGCTCTACTCTCCCAGATCCTCCCTTCTTCACGACTCTCTACTCTCCCAGATCCTCCCTTCTTCACGTCTCTTTACTCTTCCAGATCCTCCCTTCTTCACGACGCTCTACTCTCCCAGATCCTCCCTTCTTCACGAATCTCTACCCTCCCAGATCCTCCCTTCTTCACGACTCTCTACTATCCCAGATCCTCCCTTCTTCACGACGCTCTACTCTCCCAGATCCTCCCTTCTTCACGACGCTCTACTCTCCCAGATCCTCCCTTCTTCACGACTCTCTCTCTCTCTCCCAGATCCCCCCTTCTTCACGTCTCTCTATTCTCCCAGATCCTCCCTTCTTCACGACGCTCTTCTCTCCCAGATCCTCCCTTCTTCACGACTCTCTACTATCCCAGATTCTCCCTTCTTCAGGTCTCTCTACTCTCCCAGATCCTCCCTTCTTCACGTCTCTCTACTCTCCCAAAGGCTCCACCACTCTCTTTTCTCACAAACTTCCTTTTTCTCGAAACCCCTTTCTCCAGAACTTTTCACCATCAATTACCCTACCTTCTTTCTCCTGTAATCTGCTTTGTAGGAGTATTCCTTCTTCTCAGTGCATTGACGTATCGAAATAATTGTAATATGTCTGTTGATGAATTACATTTTGATAATTAGTACATTGACTATCGGTTGTTATATTCCAAGTGGGATATGTACTTCGTAAAGAGCTCCTGTCATAGTAGCCGTTTTAAGCCGCCTCGATAAAATAACAAGGAATTTGAAGGGTCTTGCCACCGACATTTAGGCTTTCAGTAAATTCTTTACTGTGTAGCTCCCAAAGTTAAGGAGAAATAATACCTATATTTGTTGAATGCGGTCCCTGTGGGTGTGACTGATGAGTTTGCCGCACGTCGTTATGAAATGAATGTTTATGCATGAATAATCATATTTTGTTGTGATATTCAATTCCAAGGTTTAAGCATACTAAAACACACAAATGCTTGCAGAATACCTGTTTAACTTATTCTAAGCTCTATCCCCATATTATCCAAATAGTCAAACTGCCATGTGCCGCTATATCAGTAGCATAAAACAAACATGGCGGACAGGCATCCGATAAAATGCATGTGTATAAATACAGGTACGACCTTAGAGCCCCTATAAAACCCTTGAACGTCCCTTAGACAAATTGTATTTTCAACTTGTTTTGGAACAATATTTCAATTACGAAATTAACCCTCAAAGTGCATTGCAGACAATCTGATATGTCTCTTTGAGTTAAATATTTAACATTTATTATGTGACACAAACATACGATAAAACAGACCTGGGAATAATAGCTATGATTTCAACATGCATTAAAACGAGGATGAACACGAACAAATTTGAAAACGATCATTTTTTGTTTTCTTTTCCTGTAAATGACACAGTCTATGACCATGACTTATGGAGTGCAATGTTTCTCTTATACAGCTAAATTCTTTACCTGAAGTCTCCAATTCTACAAGATCTACCCTTGCGTCGTGTCTCGATACGTGTTGCAGAGCCCATGTTGCCATATCGGAATGAGCTGCATGTATTTTTGTGACGTCATTTCATTGTGACGTAACAGTAAACAATCAGTCGGTCGCTTCCGTCGGTTTCCTCGGTAACAGGGCCCGTTGTACGAAATGATATTGGTGGAAGACTACCTTTAGTATTTTTAACCTAACACGCACGGGAGACGACGCAAACGGTGGAAATTCTATATTCAATCCAACTATGGATAGTATAACTGTATGATACCATATAATATGTTATATTAAATCCAAGCATCATAGGTCATAATATGTACCCAATCAGTAAATGGGTTTTTTTTAACAAAAAACCCACCCCATTGTTATAAATAGACAGCATCCGCGGTAGTTTTGAAGTAGTCCCTGTTTCCAATAATTACACACTTATGTATATCTGTGTAAGGCTCTGCCTAAATTCTTAAGTTAAATTTCATGATCTCACCAGTGGAAGTATCTGGCGGTCGCCAGAAAAGTATCTGGCGGCCGCCAGATAAAATATAGAGGCATACAGTGAAAAATGATCTCACCAGTGGCGGGTATGGGCCACCGTAGGCATACAGAACATGATGTGGGTCCACATATATCCCATGTACTCTTTTATCAAATGTTCTTATTATGAATTATGCGTATACAGGGAGAAGGAAGAGTATGCATGTGGTTTTATTCCGCTTTCCAGACTAACAAGGACATAGGAATGTGTTTCATACATTGTACCCATCTGGGGAATAGAACCCGGGTTTCCGGCGTGGTGAGCCAGCCACCAGATTTGTTTCTTTTAACACATGCAGATATCGGACTTAGATATCATCAAGGACAGAAACATCGACATAATGAGAAGACAGGCGTTATCCGAAAATAGCTAAACTGTGAGCAAGCGCGTGGCCCAATATCAACTTTTTACCAGTTGTTCTTAATGTATTTTACTTTCTTCCCCTTTTAAAATCATGAAAAATAACGAACCTCCTGAAGGCCTTTAAGTTATCGCATATGGTATTCCTCTACACACGTGTTACAGTTGTTGCGAGTTTGAAACATGATCGTATTGAGAAACAAAAAAGCAACAACACAAAGCCTCATTATCATTCAGAGTAGGACCATATCTGAATGTCTGAAATGTGCCCCTATTTCTTAAGTTATGCCGACCCTTTGTATGTAAAATGGGACTGTATCACTCCTCGTCTTATTTCGATTAGGACTCTATCAAATTTGTATTTTTGTAATAATTTAATTTCTCATGTGTTTATTAAACGCTTTGCTATCGTATCTCCGTGCTAAATAAACGGATTCCAAGATGTCAGTTCCCGAGCATATCACTCGTGCATATCTTTCCACATCACCTAACAGAACCGTCAAGATCCAAGTCAGCAACCCAGGCTTGTCTAAGAGGCGACTATGCTTGTCGTAAGAGGCGCATGGTCGCTGACTTGTTTGATGGATGTCATCGTATTTCCACTGCGTGGATCGATGCTCATGATGTCAGTCACTGGATTGACGATTATTTACAGACCGCCTTCATATAGCTGGAATATTGCTGAGTGTGGTGTTAAACAAACAAACACATAAAACAAAACATCATCAAACAGATATATATCGTATAACCTATTACAATTAGGACAAGTGGGTTGACCCCACCACAAGCAGCCAGACTGTATGTTTGTATCAACGTCTGAAATAGATCATTAAATTACTCATGCGTAAATTCAATGGACAGAGCACACAATCGGTTGGTGGGTGTGTACTAAACGTACAACTTAACGAACCGTGACCTAAACGTGTATCATACTGGCCTACAGAATATGTTCCTCACACGTCAATTACACAATGAAGACGTATGTAAAGAAATGCAAATACAACTTAAATACCTGTTACAACATTGAATTTAACATTATGTGTGAACTTTAAATTGTGTTGACCCTGAGAACCCGTGTAGCTCATACCACAACCCAAGGAAAATCTTTCACGACCGTCTCACTGTAGTGAGTGAGTTGGATTTAACGCCGCTTTTAACATTATTTCAGTTAAATCACGGCGTGTCAGCTTAATGTGGGAGGAAAGTCCGAAGTGGTGCAGGTCTCAGACGTTTACCACTTAGGTAAAACCCACGAGCACGGGTATGGTGCTGACAAACTTAGAAACATAATCGGGGCGAACCGGGATTCGAACCAACAATCATAGGTTTCTGGCGTGCCCAAGGGACGCAACTCTGCACAGCGAATCGCGGCGCCTTAGACGACTGGGCCACCCGTGCCCCACTCTCACTGTAAATACGTGTAAAATGTGTGACTATAAACACAAATCCGGGTAGGACTACACCATTGTCCCTAAAGAGACAAGAAACCATATCCATCCCCCCATACAACGTACATAAAACTTTCTGACAAAGATATTAGTATCATTTATTTATTCAACCAAATGTGGGTATTGACACACGGGAAACGCATCTCTCAATAGGTTTCTTTTAACATATATCTCTTTACAGAATAAAATTATTGTTTCATCAAGTAGACTGATAAAAGGCAACACTGAATGAAAGTTCAATTAGTCTGGGTAGATTCTAGGTTCTAGGGATTTCGATATAACTGTTACATATCTTAAAAAGTGTATGGTTTAGACGGGCAATAAAGGGACATAATCATTATCCTAGCTTAAAACCACTATGCTTGTCTCAACATCCAACAACCACGTATCTTGTGTATTAAAAGTACTTTATAATGAACGAAGAGTGCATTTTCATGTTTCATCTACTCTATTTCTCAGAGAAAGCTCCCTTCTCTAAATTTGTCTTATTTTTTTCATTTTGTCACATAATTGTTTTAATAAATATATCCGTTCGGCAGATATATTTTAATTTTAACACAACACATTCAAAACCCACTTTTCTTCTGCTAACTCAATTTGTGTTAAATATCATATCATGGACGTGATTACATTGACATTCTTATGCTAAACATATACCATTATAATCTTAACCATTACCGAATGGATTGCGGTATATATATTCCGAAAGGACCGAATCAAGTCTATTTCCTCACTAATGAACCCCTTTATACCAGTTGCACAAGATTATTTCATGCTGATCAGTATGGATAATCGAGAACGAGGGGCAGATCCAAGGGGAGGTAATCACTGGAGCTGTCATAGACCGGCAAGATGGCGATGGGGAAAGGCTACCGAATATTTCACAAGGTTCCACCGGACCGTGAAACTCCATATAGTGTTATAATGGAGAGCAAATCAAAGGATGAAAGTCTAATGTTCGAGTCCGATGCAGTGGTGGTCTTATGTAAGTTCAGAGATATCTTTTTCGCGATATTTTATGGAGGTAATCAATAAGAAAAATTGACGAATAGGCAATGACAGGTAGCCTTACTAAACATAGAGGTCACCCAGGTGGTTGAACTATGATATTTTTAGTTCCTTTGTCTCACGTGTTTACACCTATGTGTACTTATAGCATCTACGGTTTACAACAGCGTATATTACGGTGCAATGCGTCGAATTATTTCCAGAAATATAGACCTGAGCCGTGATTATAATCAAAAGGAGACCAACGTCCGATTATAAAAACGATGCCTTTATAAGGGTGTTAGATATCCGATACCATATAGTGATATAGCCCCCACATCGTCTAGACATGTGCACCTGTAACGCCATGACATACACACACTCTTCAAACAGGCCAAAATAGAAACAAAATAAACAGTGAGCTCGATTTGTTTCAATGGATTTAAATGGTTGCACACAAGTGGTTTTAGCATATTTAGTGTGCATGTATCATAGAAACAATGTTGATTTATCCCTGTGTTGTCCCAGTGCATATGGAGAGCATATTATGGATGGTAGACGGTACTCTCAGATTATTATATGAATTTCATTGTTATAATAATAAACATTGTCATGATTGATAAAGATGTTAAAAATAGAAAATAAAATAATAACATGTCTTTTAAGACAAGTCACGTTCTTCAGTATAGTAATCAAAGGCAATGGCTGACTGGTGGAATATAACATTGATTAGCAGGGTCAGGCCAGGCCAATTTAATGCCAATAAATGCATGTTTATGGATGAAACAGTCTTATGATACTTATTTGTTTAGAAAATTGCGAAAGAAGAAAAGAAATATCAGCAAATATTGATAGAATCCAAAGATCTTTTTTTTGTCAACAAATGCAATATGGCTTGTTAGATTATTTAGTCATGTTGGTTGGCATAATCATAACAGTTGGCTAATATCGTGAAATAACAACAAATCAGACAGTTTGTACTAAAAGTTGAAGCATGCATTAAACATTTCAAGGATTTCAAGGATGAAAGTATGAGAATCTGTACTTTACCGAGAAAGAGTTTTCCCAAATGTAACATTTGTTAGATAAGCAAGTTGTCATTGTCATTAGTGTCAAGTATGTTGGAACCTAATGCAGGCCTACCAAAGAAAACCAGCAGAGAGCAACCAAACACACTTTAAATAAGTAGCCAATCAAATTACAAACAAGATACAATCCCCATAAAGTTTGCATCGTAATGATTACAACCTGGCACATTTTCAATGGAACTAGTCATCATTGTGATGTAAACTTTATGGGGATTGTGTCTTGTTTGTTAGAAAGTGTACACATTCTTTGGTTTGGTTGTTTTTCTTTGGTAGGCATGTAATGCAGCACTAGAAATCTGCTCAGATCCGACAAGGTGCTGTGATGGGAGCACCTGGGGTGTTGTTGCATGAACAACATCACAATTTGAGACTTATGTAGTTTTGCAAAAGATTCAGCCATCAACTAGTTTAGGATGCAACAGTTTTGAAACTGAAGTACTGAAACAGAAAGCCACGTCACAAGGTTTACAGATCATCACATTTGAAACAATATGCACTACACTGGCAGTGCCACAGACCATTGCCCTCCACATCAGGGTTCTGAACTTGTGACTTTATCATCAGGAGGGAGGCTCAAATGGCCCAGAAGTTGTGTCCCATAAATGCCATCACTCACTATTCCTCAGGTCTTCACCAGCAGTTAATTGGTTAATTGTACTTTCAGGTTTAGCTTTCATCTCTTGCAGTTGATTGTGCGTTGTAACTTTTTCCTCACGGTGCCCTCATAACTGCAGTTCCTACACCCCTGCTTTGTGTCCACCTCGTAATATAGGTGAAATATTGGAAAAGGTGGCATAAAATCATACAACGGCATCAAAGGCAAATCATTTGTTTAGAGATGAATGAGCTGCAATGCTACATTGTCCATGTGTTTCAGTATCAGTACTGAGCTGCAGTGCTACATTGTCCATGTGTTTCAGCCTCAGTACTGAGCTGAATGAGCTGCAATGCTACATTGTCCATGTGTTTCAGCCCAAGTACTGAGCTGAATGAGCTGCAATGCTACATTGTCCATGTGTTTCAGCCCAAGTACTGAGCTGAATCAGCTGAAGTGCTACATTGTCTATGTGTTTCAGCCCCAGTACCGAGCTGAATGAGCTGCAGTACTACATTGTCCATGTGTTTCAGCCTCGGTACTGAGCTGAATGAGCTGCAATGCTACATTGTCCATGTGTTTGAGCCCCAGTACTGAGCTGAATGATCTGCAATGCTACCTTGTCCATGTGTTTCAGCCTCAGTACTGAGCTGAATGAGCTGCAATGTTACATTGTCCATGTGTTTCAGCCTCAGTACTGAGCTGAATGAGCTGCAATGTTACATTGTCCATGTGTTTCAGCCTCAGTACTGAGCTTAATGAGCTGCAATGCTACATTGTCCATGTGTTTCAGCCTCGGTACTGAGCTGAATGAGCTGCACTGCTACATTGTCTATGTGTTGCTACATTGTCCATGTGTTTCAGCCTCAGTTCTGAGCTGAATGAGCTGCAATGCTACATTGTCCATGTGTTTCAGCCTCAGTACTGAGCTGAATGGGCTGTAATGCTACATTGTCCATGTGTTTCAGCCTCAGTTCTGAGCTGAATGAGCTGCAATGCTACATTGTCTATGTGTTTCAGCCTCAGGACTGAGCTGAATGAGCTGCAATGCTACATTGTCCATGTGTTTCAGCCTCAGCACTGAGCTGAATGAGCTGTAGTGCTACATTGTCCATGTGTTTCAGCCACAGTACTGAGCTGAATGAGCTGTAGTGCTACATTGTCCATGTGTTTCAGCCTCAGTACTGAGCTAAATGAGCTGCAATGCTACATTGTCCATGTGTTTCAGCCTTGGTACTGAGCTAAATGAGCTGCAATGCTACTGTCCATGTGTTTCAGCCTCAGTTCTGAGCTGAATGAGCTGTAGTGCTACATTGTCCATGTGTTTCAGCCTCAGTTCTGAGATGAATGAGCTGTAGTGCTACATTGTCCATGTGTTTCAGCCTCAGTTCTGAGCTGAATGAGCTGCAATGCTACATTGTCCATGTGTTTCAGCCTTGGTACTGAGCTGAATGAGCTGCAATGCTACTGTCCATGTGTTTCAGCCTCAGTACTGAGCTGAATGAGCTGCAATGCTACATTGTCCATGTGTTTCAGCCTTGGTACTGAGCTGAATGAGCTGCAGTGCTACTGTCCATGTGTTTCAGCCTTAGTACTGAGCTGAATGAGCTGCAATGCTACCTTGTCCATGTGTTTCAGCCTCAGTACTGAGCTGAATGAGCTGCAGTGCTACTGTCCATGTGTTTCAGCCTCAGTACTGAGCTGAATGAGCTGCAATGCTTCATTGTCCATGTGTTTCAGCCTTGGTACTGAGCTGAATGAGCTGCAGTGCTACTGTCCATGTGTTTCAGCCTTAGTACTGAGCTGAATGAGCTGCAATGCTACCTTGTCCATGTGTTTCAGCCTCAGTACTGAGCTGAATGAGCTGCAGTGCTACTGTCCATGTGTTTCAGCCTCAGTACTGAGCTGAATGAGCTGCAATGCTTCATTGTCCATGTATTTCAGCCTTGGTACTGAGCTGAATGAGCTGCAATGCTACATTGACCATGTATTTCAGCCTTAGTACTGAGCTGAATGAGCTGCAATGCTACCTTGTCCATGTGTTTCAGCCTCAGTACTGAGCTGAATGAGCTGCAGTGCTACTGTCCATGTTTTTCAGCCTCAGTACTGAGCTGAATGAGCTGCAATGCTTCATTGTCCATGTGTTTCAGCCTTGGTACTGAGCTGAATGAGCTGCAATGCTACATTGTCTATGTGTTTAAGCCTTGGTACTGAGCTGAATGAGCTGCAGTGCTAAACTGTCAAAGTCTATTTCAGCCTCTAGTCTCAGCAGAATACGTTGCTATGCTACATTGTCTGTATGTTTCAGCCTCGGCGGAGATGGACACTATCAGGAAGCAGTATACCAAGGTGCTTGATGCCTACGGTTGTCTGGGGGTTCTAGGCGTCAACTTAGGTAAATATGGATATATCAACACCCTATCACCCATTGCTGGGATGTGCAGGGTATTACCATGGCCCATCAAAGTCATTTCAGGAAAAAGATACATGTCTTCTGCATGATCAGTATAAAGTTGCCAAAGTCTACACCATGTACACTGGTTGCTATTTGTGCTAGATTATGCTGTCCACGTTTGTGTCATTAGGTTTACAGTATGGTCACATTTTCATTTGTTGTCAGATCGTTTTCATAAAGAATACAAATACATTGTACATAGTAAATGGTAATAATGATGTTGATGAAGAAGAATTTCTTATTCAAATCTGAAAAAAATGCCTTGAAGTATCCAAAGGAAAAGTCTCTGATCTTCATGATTGAATCATTCAAGTCTCAATAAGAAAGCTGTGATATCCAATTTCTCAATGTTCTCAGGCCCCCATTCCACAAAGTGATCTTAGCACCAAGGTGATCGATCTCCAATCCTTAGCATTGACTTACGACAGTTGTAGTGCTAAGATAGCTTTGTGGAACAGGTCCCAGTTATGAACTTGTAAATATGGCAGACCAGACAAAGTCCCACAATGAGATCCTTTTACTTGTAAGACATGTTGCCATCCTGGTTCAACCTGTACTGACCCTAGTTCCATGGTTATTGGTAGGCCGAGAGAAGATCATGTACCTGGTGATGGTGTCGGGTTGTCTCTCTGTGGGCAAGATTACAGAATCAGAAGTATTCAAGGTGACCAGTGTTCAGTTTGTGTCGTTACGCAATGAGCCTACAGACGAGGATAGGATTGTGGAGCTTCGGAAACTGCTGTCATCTGGAACATTCTACTTCTCCTGGTCTCAGACAGGTGCGCCCTGGGACCTCAGTCTGTGTGCTCAGCGAAAACAGCAGGACACGGAGACTGACAACAGATTCTTCTGGTGAGTGGAGGAGTGGTGCTCAGGGAGACATCTTGGGGTGACTATTGGTCTGGAAATCACTATTGTGATAACTGTTGATGTTGAAAGAAACTATTGCGATAAATATTGATAGTTTTCAGTGTAACATTTTAGATGGATTTTAGAGTTGAATTAAACCTTGGAACTGAAGTTTCCTTTGGATGTGATAACCATAACAACAAATAAAAAGTAAAGTTTGAGATATGACCGATTTGTTTTTTCTTTACCCTAATAATTTAAGAAAATGAAACTTCCACATTACCACGTGTAAATTACTACCACTCATGATCAAAAGAAAAACAAATTTGAACAGCATTGTATGTGTTTTATTGATATGGTAAATACAATCAAAACTATCGATGTTCCTTGATCGGAGACTGAATTAACAATCAATTTATTGACTTTAAGTGCTTACCAATCTGCCAATAGCAACATATCGATATTTTGATTTATCGTGACACCCCTAGAGACATCATCCATTTCAATCTCCAAGGACTCATTTGGGGACTGAAGACAAATTGTTGACAGGTTCCAAGAACAGTTCACTTTGTTGGAATAATCATTCCAAGGCTTAGTTTGCTCATGATCATGTAATGATGATGATGATGATGATGATGATGATACACTTAAAATGATTGGTAGTCGTGGTAGTACAGGACTGTGAAGATCCGGGTTAGCATCAATCTTCACCAACCCATGCTTGTTGTAAAAGTCGACTAACTGGATTAGGTGGTCAGACTCGCTGACTTGGTTGATGCATGTCTTTGTATCCCAATTGCGTAGATTGATGCTCATGATGTCAATCACTGATCCAGACTCAATTAATAGTTCCACATTCATTTTCCCTCCGCTGACTCAGCTGTGGTTGTGTTCCAGGAACCGGATGCTGCACGTGCACCTACAGAGATACAGCATAGACTGTGGTCAGTGGCTGCTGAAGATCATGTGTGGCGGGGTTGAGATCCGCACCATCTACGCCGCTCACCGCCAGGCCAAGGCGTGTCTCATCACTCGTCTCAGCTGCGAGAGGGCAGGCACTCGCTTCAATGTTCGGGGCACCAATGATGACGGACATGTGGCCAACTTCTGTGAAACTGAACAGGTACAGCAATAGGTGTCCGAATGTTTATGTTAGTGTCAGGATGTTCAGCAGATGGTCAGGTGATCCCAGGTGGGGTAATTCTGGGTTAGAATTTGCCCCAAGCAACGTATGCTGGGTGCAAGAGGTGACTTAATTGATAGAGTGCTCAGACTCAGTGACTTGTTTGATTGCATGTCGTTGTACCCCTATGGTGTGGATCGAATTCCATGTGAGAATACTCCCTCAGTATGTCCCACCTTGGGGATTCCATGTGAGAATACTCCCTCAGTATGTCCTGCCTTGGGGATTCCGTAAGAGAATACTCCCTCAGTATGTCCTGCCTTGGGGGATTCCGTGTGAGAATACTTCCTCAGTATGTCCCACCTTGGGGGATTCCATGTGAGAATACTCCCTCAGTATGTCCTGCCTTGGGGGATTCTGTGTGAGAATTCTCCCTCAGTATGTCCCACCTTGGGGGATTCCATGTGAGAATACTCCCTCAGTACGTCCTGCCTTGGGGGATTCCGTGTGATAATACTCCCTCAGTATGTCCCACCTTAGGGGATTCTGTGTGATAATACTCCCTCAGTAATTCCTGCCTTGGGGGATTTCGTGTGAGAATACTCCCTCAGTATGTCCTACCTTGGGGGATTCCGTGTGAGAATACTCCCTCAGTATGTCCCACCTTGGGGGATTCTGTGTGATAATACTCCCTCAGTATGTCCTACCTTGGGGGATTCCGTGTGATAATACTCCCTCAGTATGTCCTACCTTGGGGGATTCCGTGTGATAATACTCCCTCAGTATGTCCTACCTTGGGGGATTCCGTGTGAGAATACTCCCTCAGTATGTCCCACCTTGGGGGATTTCATGTGAGAATACTCCCTCAGTATGTCCTACCTTGGGGGATTCCGTGTGATAATACTCCCTCAGTATGTCCTACCTTGGGGGATTCTGTGTGATAATACTCCCTCAGTATGTCCTACCTTGGGGGATTCCGTGTTATAATACTCCCTCAGTATGTCCCACCTTGGGGGATTCCGTGTGATTATACTCCCTCAGTATGTCCTGCCTTGGGGGATTCTGTGTGATAATACTCCCTCAGTATGTCCCACCTTGGGGATTCCATGTGAGAATACTCCCTCAGTATGTCCTGCCTTGGGGATTCCGTAAGAGAATACTCCCTCAGTATGTCCTGCCTTGGGGGATTCCGTGTGAGAATACTTCCTCAGTATGTCCCACCTTGGGGGATTCCATGTGAGAATACTCCCTCAGTATGTCCTGCCTTGGGGGATTCTGTGTGAGAATTCTCCCTCAGTATGTCCCACCTTGGGGGATTCCATGTGAGAATACTCCCTCAGTACGTCCTGCCTTGGGGGATTCCGTGTGATAATACTCCCTCAGTATGTCCCACCTTAGGGGATTCTGTGTGATAATACTCCCTCAGTAATTCCTGCCTTGGGGGATTTCGTGTGAGAATACTCCCTCAGTATGTCCTACCTTGGGGGATTCCGTGTGAGAATACTCCCTCAGTATGTCCCACCTTGGGGGATTCTGTGTGATAATACTCCCTCAGTATGTCCCACCTTGGGGGATTCCGTGTGATAATACTCCCTCAGTATGTCCTACCTTGGGGGATTCCGTGTGAGAATACTCCCTCAGTATGTCCCACCTTGGGGGATTTCATGTGAGAATACTCCCTCAGTATGTCCTACCTTGGGGGATTCCGTGTGATAATACTCCCTCAGTATGTCCTACCTTGGGGGATTCTGTGTGATAATACTCCCTCAGTATGTCCTACCTTGGGGGATTCCGAGTTATAATACTCCCTCAGTATGTCCCACCTTGGGGGATTCCGTGTGATAATACTCCCTCAGAATGTCCTGCCTTGGGGGATTCTGTGTGATAATACTCCCCTCAGTATGTCCCGCCTTGGGGATTCCGTAAGAGAATACTCCCTCAGTATGTCCCGCCTTGGGGATTCCGTAAGAGAATACTCCCTCAGTATGTCCTACCTTGGGGGATTCCGTGTGATAATACTCCCTCAGTACGTCCTGCCTTGGGGGATACCGTATGATAATACTCCCTCAGTATGTCCTACCTTGGGGGATTCCGTGTGATAATACTCCCTCAGTACGTCCTGCCTTGGGGGATTCTGTGTGAGAATTCTCCCTCAGTATGTCCCACCTTGGGGGATTCCATGTGAGAATACTCCCTCAGTACGTCCTGCCTTGGGGGATTCCGTGTGATAATACTCCCTCAGTATGTCCCACCTTAGGGGATTCTGTGTGATAATACTCCCTCAGTAATTCCTGCCTTGGGGGATTTCGTGTGAGAATACTCCCTCAGTATGTCCTACCTTGGGGGATTCCGTGTGAGAATACTCCCTCAGTATGTCCCACCTTGGGGGATTCTGTGTGATAATACTCCCTCAGTATGTCCCACCTTGGGGGATTCCGTGTGATAATACTCCCTCAGTATGTCCTACCTTGGGGGATTCCGTGTGATAATACTCCCTCAGTATGTCCTACCTTGGGGGATTCCGTGTGAGAATACTCCCTCAGTATGTCCCACCTTGGGGGATTTCATGTGAGAATACTCCCTCAGTATGTCCTACCTTGGGGGATTCCGTGTGATAATACTCCCTCAGTATGTCCTACCTTGGGGGATTCTGTGTGATAATACTCCCTCAGTATGTCCTACCTTGGGGGATTCCGTGTTATAATACTCCCTCAGTATGTCCCACCTTGGGGGATTCCGTGTGATAATACTCCCTCAGTATGTCCTGCCTTGGGGGATTCTGTGTGATAATACTCCCTCAGTATGTCCCACCTTGGGGATTCCATGTGAGAATACTCCCTCAGTATGTCCTGCCTTGGGGATTCCGTAAGAGAATACTCCCTCAGTATGTCCTGCCTTGGGGGATTCCGTGTGAGAATACTTCCTCAGTATGTCCCACCTTGGGGGATTCCATGTGAGAATACTCCCTCAGTATGTCCTGCCTTGGGGGATTCTGTGTGAGAATTCTCCCTCAGTATGTCCCACCTTGGGGGATTCCATGTGAGAATACTCCCTCAGTACGTCCTGCCTTGGGGGATTCCGTGTGATAATACTCCCTCAGTATGTCCCACCTTAGGGGATTCTGTGTGATAATACTCCCTCAGTAATTCCTGCCTTGGGGGATTTCGTGTGAGAATACTCCCTCAGTATGTCCTACCTTGGGGGATTCCGTGTGAGAATACTCCCTCAGTATGTCCTACCTTGGGGGATTCCGTGTGATAATACTCCCTCAGTATGTCCCACCTTGGGGGATTCCGTGTGAGAATACTCCCTCAGTATGTCCTGCCTTCGGGGATTCTGTGTGATAATACTCCCTCAGTATGTCCCACCTTGGGGATTCCATGTGAGAATACTCCCTCAGTATGTCCTGCCTTGGGGATTCCGTAAGAGAATACTCCCTCAGTATGTCCTGCCTTGGGGGATTCCGTGTGAGAATACTTCCTCAGTATGTCCCACCTTGGGGGATTCCATGTGAGAATACTCCCTCAGTATGTCCTGCCTTGGGGGATTCTGTGTGAGAATTCTCCCTCAGTATGTCCCACCTTGGGGGATTCCATGTGAGAATACTCCCTCAGTACGTCCTGCCTTGGGGGATTCCGTGTGATAATACTCCCTCAGTATGTCCCACCTTAGGGGATTCTGTGTGATAATACTCCCTCAGTAATTCCTGCCTTGGGGGATTTCGTGTGAGAATACTCCCTCAGTATGTCCTACCTTGGGGGATTCCGTGTGAGAATACTCCCTCAGTATGTCCCACCTTGGGGGATTCCGTGTGATAATACTCCCTCAGTATGTCCTACCTTGGGGGATTCCGTGTGATAATACTCCCTCAGTATGTCCTACCTTGGGGGATTCCGTGTGAGAATACTCCCTCAGTATGTCCTACCTTGGGGGATTCCGTGTGAGAATACTCCCTCAGTATGTCCCACCTTGGGGGATTTCATGTGAGAATACTCCCTCAGTATGTCCTACCTTGGGGGATTCCGTGTGATAATACTCCCTCAGAATGTCCTACCTTGGGGGATTCTGTGTGATAATACTCCCTCAGTATGTCCTACCTTGGGGGATTCCGTGTTATGATACTCCCTCAGTATGTCCCACCTTGGGGGATTCCGTGTGATAATACTCCCTCAGTATGTCCTGCCTTGGGGGATTCTGTGTGATAATACTCCCCTCAGTATGTCCCGCCTTGGGGATTCCGTAAGAGAATACTCCCTCAGTATGTCCCGCCTTGGGGATTCCGTAAGAGAATACTCCCTCAGTATGTCCTACCTTGGGGGATTCCGTGTGGTAATACTCCCTCAGTACGTCCTGCCTTGGGGGATACCGTATGATAATACTCCCTCAGTATGTCCTACCTTGGGGGATTCCGTGTGATAATACTCCCTCAGTACGTCCTGCCTTGGGGGATACCGTATGATAATACTCCCTCAGTATGTCCCACCTTGGGGGATTCCGTGTGATAATACTCCCTCAGTACGTCCTGCCTTGGGGGATTCCGTGTTATAATACTCCCTCAGTATATCCCACCTTGGGGGATTCCGTGTGAGAATACTCCCTCAGTATGTCCCACCTTGGGGGATTCCGTGTGAGAATACTTCCTCAGTATATCCCACCTTGGGGGATTCCGTGTGAGAATACTCCCTCAGTATGTCCCACCTTGGGGGATTCCGTGTGATAATACTCCCTCAGTATATCCCACCTTGGGGGATTCCGTGTGAGAATACTCCCTCAGTATGTCCTGCTCATTGTAAAAGTCGACTTAGATTATCTTGGTATCAATATGTATCCCATGTGGCGTTGTCTCATGGTGCCCATACAAGAGAGATTGTTGTTTGTCTGCTTTGTTTTGTCCAGATTCTACAATCTACAGGCTTCTGGGGTGTAGACTGCAGAACTGACTGTGGCATGAATATTTACTCTCTCTCTCTCTCTCTGTCTGTCTTTCAGGTGACATTTCTAGACGATCAAGTGAGCTCTTTCATCCAGACGCGAGGCTCAGTTCCGCTGTTCTGGGAACAAACAGGGATACAGGTGAGTCTGTGGGAAGTGTTACAGACCACTCCATCCCTCACAGGACACGCCTGTGGTGAATCTGGGGAAGTAGTACTGGTCCCAAGTAAACCAGCTGACTAATGAGGATTGGGAGACAACAATATGTGGCCTGACTAGTTGTGTGTCGTCATTACACAACTTTGGTTGTTGCTCATGCTATCAACCACTAGTTTGGCCTGTCCAGGATCTATTATGGGCCACCGTTATAAAGCTGGAACATTGCTGACTTTGGATAAAACAACATTCACTCTTTTCTGGACTCATTTCATCTTCAAACAAGATCAAAGTTTATGTAAATTCTGATACTGCTGTGCTTGTTACGGTTATTAATTTTGTTTGACATTTCATTTTAAAGCCATCAACATATCAATCTGAATTTGAGCAAGTCCATTTCTTGTTGTCACTGTACATAGACCTACAGTACCATTCTTTGTAGGTTGGCTCTCACAAAATCCACATGTCGCGTGGGTACGAGGCATCCGCCCCATCCTACGATCGCCACTTGCAGATGATCAAGAAGCAGTATGGAGACCAGGTCCTCGTCAATCTGCTGGGATGCAAGGAAGGAGAGAAGATGCTCAGTCAGGCTTATCAGGTAGAGTTAGCATTAAGCTAAATGGCAACAAATAGACATGAATGTCTGCATGACGTTTGACGTTTTATTATTTGGTGTCATAGATGAATCTGATAATTGGTACTATAAAAATCTCAAGTCTATGACAAATTGATTTGGATGGTTGTCTTTTCATTTACAACGCATGGTGAACAGTTTTTGTAAAATTCTTTAAACATGTTAAAAACAGAAAAGCTTACCTGATTTATTAGCCTCAGGTTTCAGTTTCAGTTAGTAGTAGGTAGGCTTTAGTTAGTGGTAGAAAGGTTTCAGTTAGTGGTAGGTAGGCTTCAGTTAGTGGTAGGTAGGCTTCAGTTAGTGGTAGATATGCTGCAGTTAGTGGTAGGTAGGCTTCAGTTAGTGGTAGATAGGCTTCAGTTAGTGGTAGATAGGCTTCAGTTAGTGGTAGGTAGGCTTCAGTTAGTGGTAGGTAGGCTTCAGTTAGTGGTAGATAGGCTTCAGTTAGTGGTAGGTAGGCTTCAGTTAGTGGTAGATATTCTTCAGTTAGTGGTAGATAGGCTTCGGTTAGTGGTAGATATTCTTCAGTTAGTGGTAGAAAGGTTTCAGTTAGTGGTAGATATTCTTCAGTTAGTGGTAGGTAGGCTTCAGTTAGTGGTAGGTAGGCTTCAGTTAGTGGTAGATAGGCTTCAGTTAGTGGTAGATAGGCTTCAGTTAGTTGTAGGTAGGCTTCAGTTAGTGGTAGGTAGGCTTCAATTAGTGGTAGATAGGCTTCAATTAGTGGTAGGTAGGCTTCGGTTAGTGGTAGATAGGCTTCAGTTAGTTGTAGGTAGGCTTCAGTTAGTGGTAGGTAGGCTTCAATTAGTGGTAGGTAGGCTTCAGTTAGTGGTAGGTAGGCTTCAGTTAGTGGTAGATAGGTTTCAGTTACTGGTACAAGAATGCTTCGGCTGATCCTCCTTGGGGCACTTATTGCATTTTCCTGGCTCAAGAAAATCTACATGACGTAGTTGTAACCATTTTCCTTAAAAAAAAATGTTACCACACAAAAAACTTCGTTTTTGTATGATATACGTCCACCCTTATGGTGCCTCACCCTACACGGCGCGTCACGCCAAGGGAAGCAACTCTCACCCAAATCACTTTCCTTGTATCATCTGACAAAGACAGACGTGCCTGTTTTTTTCAAGACTAACAAAAGTACAAGATAATCGTACGTACAAGAACCATGGCAGACCAAACTGTATGTATAAACTTGTATTGTAAAGTTAGACACCAGGGCCATTAAAAACGGCTTGGGGTTTTAAATGTTATATCATCGGGCTTTGGCCTACAATCTTTTCCTTTAATAAACCCAAGGTGGTGTGTTAATTATATTTAAATTAAACTTACCTTTCTTTTACGTTTTTTTTTACACCTTTGCGCGTAACATGCCCACTTTGGTGTTATAATTATACTACGACATTGGCTATTAGTATCGCGTTACCAATCGCATTCTAAATTAAGCCTTTGCTTCTAGTTTCACAATTTATGCACGTATCTTTCCGATCTTTCAATCGCACTGATACACTTTATTACCCTTCCCGCCCAACTCAGAAATTACAGTCTTTTTTACAGACCTTCAAACTGTGTACGGGGTGTTCGGCATCCATTCCCCCCCAAGACAGGCATGATACTTGCCTCAAGTGTTTGGCGGAAGATGGGCATGACGATTGGTCATGCCCGATCTGTATTGCTTTCACCCCCCGGGCTCAAGAGACAAGTGGATCTCTTGCACTTTAAGGGTCTCTTGAAGGCAAGGGTGGATATTAGATCGGCAAAGACTGTCTCCTCCGCTCCCTCCCCGGGGGCCAGGGGAGAAGGCTCTAGGGTCCCCGTAACAATCACTGCATCCTCTCCTGCACCGTCTTTGGCGGACATCTCTGCCTTGTTGAGGTCGCAGATGGCGTCGATGATGGAGGAGGTAAAGTCTCAGCTCCGAGAGGAGATGCGGACCGAGCTTTCCCCATTGTCGGCGCCGGACGCGGCTTCGAGACCTTGTGTTATGTCCTGCGTCAGCCGAGGCAGGCCACTTGGTCTCAGGGACGATCTCAGACCGGGCTTTGGCGCTGGTTCGAGGTCGCTCCCCAGCGGAGGGGTGGCGTTCACTACCGACGCACAGTTCTCCCTAGCGGAGCCAGACGCCTCTTCCGAGGCCGAGGCTTCCTCTAGCGGATTCCTAGCCAAGAGCCAGGTGGGTTCCTTTGAACCCCCAGCACCTCGGGACCAGGACTCGGCTTCGGGCCGGGTGCAGCCCGGGGATGCGAAGGCCCAGGCCTTCGGGCGTCCCCTTCCGACTTCGTCTGCCTCTTCTCTCGGGGAAGAGTCGATTAATTTTGGCTCGGAATCGAGAGAGGAGGAGTGGATGGAGGAGGGGTGAGACGACTCGGAGACCTCGGGAACATTTTCCTTTGCTTCCTCGTTGAGGCATGTACGGGACAAGATTGTCCAGGTACTGCCTCAGGTGGCTGCGCCCATGCCCCAGTCCGATCCAACTGAGCTCCGCCTTCCCGGGGACGCTTTTGCTCCGAGCTAGGTGCCCCAGGTGCGGCTCCGTATTCTGTCCTCACTGGTGCATGAAGTCATCAACCCTCTGTTGTCGGGTGCCCGCAGGAAGTTATTAAGCGGTACCCGTTAGCAGAGGATGGTGACTTTGAGGTACCGGCGGTGGACGAATGCATCTGGACCTCCGTTACCCTGGGGGGGTCTTCGACCCCCAACTTGGCTAAGGTCAAGCAGGGCCGGCGGTTGCCACCCTTTCCCCGCATGCAGTGCGGAGCTGAAGGCTGCTTACGTTTGCTTCTAAGGAGCAATATCGCAACGCATGTTAGCAGCTCCGTGTGTCCGTACACTCCACATATCTGTCGGCTGTACAGAGGGAGTTAGCGGGAGAGGGGCAGGCTGACTCTTCGGATTTGGCCGCGCAACTTACGGAGGTCCATAGTCATCTTGCGAGGGACGCTATTCGTAGCTGTGCCTCGCAGATGATGTGCGCAGTCATGGGCATGCGCAGGCTGTGGATGTCGGTATCCAAATACTCGGCTTCCACACGCCAGGATCTACTTGCTTTGCCATATAAGATGGGTGCCACCCTCTTCCCTGGGGCTCAGCAGGTGGTCCGAGAGGCCGCACAGTTGTATGCCTCCATCAAGGATTCTAAGGCCTTGTTGGAGGTACCATGCGTTAAACCGCGTAAGCGGACCTCTCCACTTGACTCCTCCTATGCTGACGCGCCGGGTCAGAAGTCGACACCTGCTTGGAAGCAGCCGCTTCCTTCAGGTACGGGCGCCGAGAGGAGCAAGAGAGGCTGGGGCCGGGGCAAGGCAGCTGGTCAATCCCTTTTCTGCAGATCTCGTAGCTGTGCTTGAGTTCCTCCAGTCGCGACTAGATGACGGCCTGGCCGCATCAACAGTCCGGGGGTACTCTAAAGCTATCGCAGCTTTTCACGTCCCTGTCGACGGGGCACTTCTGGGTGCGCACCCATTAGTGCAGGGCTTTTTAGCAGGTGTGGACAGGATCTGACCGCCTGTCCGGCGGATCAGTCCCCCTTTGGACTTGTCAATCGTTCTTGATTGGCTGTCCGGTCCTTCCTTTCGGGATCTGTCGTCTCTCTCTCTTCAGCTGTTGAGCTTGAAGACGGCGTTCCTTGTGGCGGTAATGTCCGGCAGACGGGTAGGTGACATTCACGCAATGTCAGCCAATCCCGAACTAACTGTCTTTCACCGGGACAGGGTCAGTATTCGCCTGCCGGACTCTTACCGTCCTAAGGTCGCACACGCCTTCCACGTGAAGGCTCCTATTGAGCTACCTGCTCTTTCACAGCCTTCCTCGTCGGGGACCACTACAAGACATGCTCATGTCTTGGATATCAGCAGGACCCTCAAGTCCTATATCAGCAGAACTAAGGGTATCCGTAAGGATAATCAACTATTTTGCTGTTATGGCGGTAGGAAGGCTGGCTCACCTGCGAGCAAACAGACTATCTCCAGGTGGATAGTGTCTACTATCTGTACTTCGTACACCCTTCAAGGCAGGGACCCCCCTACCAAGTTGAAGGCTCATTCGGTTAGAGCAGTGGCTACGACACAAGCGTACGCCGCAGCTCTGCCCATTGAGGAGATCTGCTCCGCGGCTATTTGGAGCCAGCCGAGCACGTTCATCAAACATTACCAACTCGACAAACACTCAAGCGAGCGTGCTTGGTTTGGTCAGTCAGTTCTCTGAACTGGGCAAAGTTCTGCATCTCTAGCCGATTGAGCCTTCCAGATTTTAGACCGCCCAGACCGGTTATAAAACTGCTCAGTAACAGTCCGGATTATATCTTATACGGTCGATAACAATACCAGCCATTACTACTCGATAATCATCGTATTTGCACATGCACTCCTTCGATTCACGGGGACCCTCTGGCCTAGCTCTGCGCGGGTTTATAGTCTCTCGTGATCTGTGCCCCCATATCACTTGTTCAAAAAAGTGTGTGTTGGGGGAGGGGGTGTGTGGGTGTCTCGAGTTCTCGATATGATAAGCCACGAAGAATGGCTCTTTTCATTGTGTATGGTCGACCATGCCCTGTCTCCAGCCCCCGCCTTTCGACGGTGGTGCCTCACGCTAAGGTTGGTTCCATTTATTGAAATCTTGTTATCCCCCGCCGCGCGAAAGCGCGAAGCGGGGGATATAGTATTCACGGCCGTCCGTACGTCCCACCTGTTTGTTGCCGCGATATCTCAAGAACTAAACACTGGATTGTCTTCATATTTGGAACTATGGTGTATATACAGACTCCGCAGACACCAGTCGGTTTTGGTGACCTTGATCCCATTTTCAAGGTCACAGCAGACAAATCTGCTTTTAGAGTTGGAAAACGGTGTTGCCGCGATATCTCAAGAACTAAACACTGGATTGTCTTCATATTTGGAACTATGGTGTATATACAGACTCCCCAGACACCAGTCGGTTTTGGTGACCTTGATCCCATTTTCAAGGTCACAGCAGACAAATCTGCTTTTAGAGTTGGAAAACGGTGTTGCCGCGATATCTCAAGAACTAAACACTGGATTGTCTTCATATTTGGAACTATGGTGTATATACAGACTCCGCAGACACCAGTCGGTTTTGGTGACCTTGATCCCATTTTCAAGGTCACAGCAGGCAAATCTGCTTTTAGAGTTGGAAAACGGTGTTGCCGCGATATCTCAAGAACTAAACCTCTCGATTGTCTTCATATTTGGAACTATGGTGTATATACAGACACCGCAGACACCAGTCGGTTTTGGTGACCTTGACCCCATTTTCAAGGTCACAGCAGGCAAATCTGCTTTTGGAGTTAGAAAACGGTGTTGCCGCGATATCTCAAGAACTAATCGCTGGATTGTCTTCATATTTGGAACTATAGTGTATATACAGACACCGCATACACCTGTCAGATTTGGTGACCTTGACCCCATTTTCAAGGTCACAGCAGGCAAATCTGTTTTTGGAGTTGGAAAACGGTGTTGCCACAATATCTCAAGAACTAATCGCTGGATTGTCTTCATATTTGGTACTATGGTGTATATGGCGGGGGATATTTCGTCACTCTGTGACAAATACTTGTTTATTCATTGAAATAATCAAAATACGATGTATTTATGCACGCTTGTTGCTGACGGATGCCACTTCCTAGATTATCTTTAGGAGTCTATCTTGATGCAATAAGTGCCCCAAGGAGGATTTAATCTGAAAGAGAATTTTACAAACCTGTAGAGGTTATGAATTCTCTGATGAAATCCTCCTTGGGGCACGGCCACCCACCTCCCCACATTCCGTCAGCATTAGACATATGGAAAGGCATTTGGGTGAGAGTTGCTTCCCTTGGGGTGACGCACCGTGGAGGGTGAGGCACCATAAGGGTGGACATATATCATACAAAAACGAAGTTTTTTGTGTGGTAACATTTTTTATTAAGGAAAATGGTTACAACTGTGTCATGTAGATTTTCTTGAGCTAGGAAAATGCAATAAGTGCCCTAAGGAGGATTTCATCAGAGAATTCATAACCTCTACAGGTTTGTAAAATTTTGTTTCCTTCCTTTTACCTTCAGAACCACCACAAAGCATCTGTACACAGTCAGGACACGCCCTACTATGAGTTTGACTACCACTCAGAAGTCCGAGGCAATCTTAAAAACTTGGAAAAGCTCAAGAGCAGAATAATCAAACATGTTCACAACTTTGAATTTTTCGACTCCGAGAAATCTGGAATCAAAAGGTATGTCTCCGGTCTGTTGTCAATTTGACCTTGAAAATCTTTCAAACAGAGAAAATTAGTCTTCCTTTCATTTGGGATTGACATATCATATTTTTTCATCATTATTGACAATGTTTCTATATGTCCAAGTGTGACACATGTATGTATTGTGTGTTCTACAGACAGCAGACGGGGACCATCCGGACCAACTGTGTGGACTGCCTGGACCGGACTAACTCTGTACAGAGCATGATAGGGATGGAGGTAAGCTGGCCACGTGGTGGGCAGGGATTGATCAGCTCCAAGATAGTGACATGGGTAGGGTCTCTGTTATAACTACATGTCCCTTGCTGTGTTGTGGGGTAGCCTAGGGCTTGAAGCAATCGCTCAGCAGGCGTGAGTTCAATTCCTCATATGGGTACAAGGCGTGATCCCCATTTCTTGTGTCCCCATCATGATATGGCTGGAATAGTGCTTCATGCAGTGTCAAATCCAACTCAATCACTCTTTTTCTGTGTTGGTAATGTTAAAATGTTCTACAGATCCTGCCGAAGCAGATTGAAAGTCTGGGACTAGCCAACAAGCCACAGATGTTGTCAAGGTTCCAGGAGGTGTACAAGCAGATCTGGGGGCTCAACGGCGACCATGTTAGCAAGATCTATGCTGGAACAGGTGCACTTGGTGGTGGGAGGTCAAAGGTATAGCATCAGCTTACTCTCAGGGGGTTGGGGGTAGTAGTGTTGTGTAGGTGTGACAGCTTTACTTCACAGGCACTAAGGAGACCTGGACTGTGTCATACTACATGTTATGTCTGGAGAACCACTTACACTAAGCACCCTTCAATGTGATAGCATCTCTGAAGATCAATCAAGTCAAATCCCAAATGGGACACTATCATTTCACTAACATAAGAGTAACTAACAGTTCATTTATAGCGATTGTGGAGTTCACTTAAAGTATCATTCTTTCTGGGTCTACCTATCTGCAACACCAGTCAAGTTGTGGCAAATTATTAGCCCCAAAATACATGAACATTGTTGGCTACATATGGTCAACATTATCTTTCATTATCATGATTATATCATCCAAAACATGTGCCCAACAGTAACAAGCATATTCCAGTTAATTTAGCAGGTTGTGTCAGGAATAAGGTTTATAAGGTGCTGTCGGATCAGATGATAAAGGATGTGTTTGCTGTGCACGACATCAAATTGAGATGAAGGGTCATGTTTGTTGTGTGTTTGTATTCACTGTGATGAAGGGGGAAAGGTTCCATGTTGCCACAGTCTGTCTTACTTCTTTCACAGTACTCAGACGCAGCTAGATCGGCAACTCGGACCATACAGAACAACTTCCTCGATAACAGTAAACAGGAAGCCATTGATATCCTGTTGCTAGGCAGCTCTTTATATGGAGAGCTGGCAGACAAGGCCAGGTCATTGCTGAGTCCCCGGTGTCTTCATGGTGTGTACAGAACTATTATCACCGTACAGTAGGATAGAGTTAATCTCATGACACGTGTACATTTGTACGTGTACCAGTTTAGGATTGATAGTGTATTCAACGGGATGCTTCCCTATACGTTTTAGCTCACCTGATTGAAAGTCAAGTGAGCTTACGTCATGACATGTTGTCCGTCCAGTGCCCACCGAATTCAAATCTAATTTTGAACATGGTCGCACTTATTTCTCTTTAAATGTGGTGAGCTTCAGAGTCTTGTTTCCATGGTTACTCTAGTTTTAGGTAGGAGATAGGAAGTAAGTTGAAACATGTTGATTATGACATGATGAATGTCCTCCATAGTTGTAAACAGGAGTGTTGTTAGTGTAAATTAGAGCAGTCTGTTTCATGATGCTGGACCCATTCTTGGTTTTGCATGTATTTATGAATACTGTTCATAAACACCAAGTTTAAGGAGAATATTTTGAGCCTAAACAGTTCAGGCATAACTATTTTGAATTAAAATAACAGCAGTGAGTTGATCGATTTAGATGGATTTGACTACAGAAAGTGCTCTTACTTTGATGTGTGATTACGAGGATGAAGCTGTAGACTGATGGTGTGTTGCAGCTGCCCCCAGCATCCTGTACGGCATGGTGCAGCGATATAAGGAGTACACCAAGCCCACACAACTCAGGGTCGGGGTCGGTACGTGGAACGTCAATGGCGGCAAACACTTTCGTAGTGTGGCGTTCAAACACCAGTCTGTCAGTGACTGGCTGCTGGATGCACACAAGAAGGCAAAACCAGGTAAGTTGTGCTTACGGAACTGTTGGATTCCACAGTTTGAAAATCTAGATTATGTATGATCCTTATTATATATGCAGAAGTTACTTGACATAACATTTGTATTTGATTAGAATAATAGTAGGTCCCAGAGATTGATTAATACCTTCATCATCTTTGTAGTGTCTGTAATTGAAATAGTTATGAACTATTATCATAAAATGGGTAGGTTTCTCGGCAGGATAAAGCCCACGGATAAAAACGATATCCGTTGGGGTCATATGCGGATAGAGATGTAAATATCAAAGGAGTCACCCTTGTCATTCGGCGATCGAGTCAGAATTAACCATTGGGAAACTGGATAAACTACAGGGATAATTGGTATCATTATCGAAAGAACAGTCTAATATACTGAAAATCAGTGTCTTGCATCAGTCTTGAATATACTGACAGTCAAGTGACAGGCTTGTCTCCCTACTCCTGTGTTATGTCGTTCCTCTCTCAGGGAGGGATCCAACAATGTTCATCAAATCTGTTCAGACAAAATCATCATGTCCTGTAAATCCTTATAAACACTGGTAGATTTAGAGTTCATTCCAACTATAGAATCTGAAGACATTTTTTTTTAATCTTCCAAAGTGTTGATTTGGCCACTGAACTGATTTTTTATTTGTAGGCACCTTGGAAGATGAGTCGGTTGACTATGAGAAGCCTGTGGACATTTATGCAATAGGGTTTGAGGAAATAGTGGACTTGAATGCAAGCAACATCATGAGTGCAAGGTAAGGAATTTATTGTTACATCACCTCAGCTATCTCAGATAAAACCCTTGTACTTTTGCCAGTGGCCACGATCCAAAAAAGTTCATTCTCAGTTGTAATTGCAACTTTGTCAACTGATATATTTATTGTAGTCACCATATGGCTCGTAAGATTGATATTTGAAGTGTAAATAATCTGAAAATGTAACTTGGCGCCCTTGGTAAAACATAACATGGAGCCCTGCAAGCGAACAAGATTGGAGGAATCATCACTTCCTGAATGATTCAAGCAATCAGAAATGTTTATCATTCCGTTCACTTTTTGAATATTCAACATGTTTCAACTTTAGATACAGTAAGTTACGTTTATAACAAACACGCTTATCACAAACTGACATATATAAGAAACTGGGTTTTTCCCCAGCCATTTGTTGTATATTTGATCATATAAAATTGATTGATATAACGAACACGTTTATAACAAAATAATAGATATAACAAACTCATTTTGTGGTCCCCTGTGTACTCTATGAATGACAATGTTTATGTTAATACGAACTGTTAATCTCTGAGCTGTTCATGTGTTACAATGCTCATCTCTTCAAAGCAGCAATAAACAATTGAAGGCAAGTGATTAACTGGATCAAGGACTGACACCTTGTCCTCAATTTGCACCCTCAACTAAGAATTGACTCCTATGTCTGTATGTTAATGAAACTATCAATAAGATATCTATAGCATGTATTTACTTATGTAATGCATTTTATGTCATTATGGGATGCCTGCAGTCAAAATACTTACAACTAACTACAGTTATAACAAACTAAAATAAGTGGTCCTTTGAGTTTGTTATAACCGTACTTCACTGTTTATATATGAACATGGTGAAGATATGATCAATTACACCATGCACAGTGAGTACGACTCAAGACAACTGTAAGGCTATTTCCATTTGTACATTTATCCTCTGTTTACAATTATTGGTGGTTAAAATTTGATTGCAGCACAGCAAATGCCCGTGAGTGGCAAAAGGATTTGTTGAAGACGATCTCGCGAGACAACAAATATGTGCAGCTGACTCACATTCAGTTGGTGGGCGTCGTCCTCTACGTCTTCATCAGGCCACACCTTGCGCCATTCATTAGGTCAGTACCAGGCACTACACATGGCTGCTGTTAGTTCAGGCTTGAAGAAATAAGATTAGAACATGTTTTAAGTCATTTATTCAAATCACCAACTAAATATGTTTCAATTTTACCAGGCTTTGTTTCAGTGTGTTGAGTCAACAATCTCCGATATATGCCTTCTCCAACACTTGCTAATAGCTGTAACTAACAAGGGAATTAATTTCAGATTAACCAGTTAAATGTCATATGTTAGATGAGAACAACTGTTCAGGGACAACTCATGATAAGAATATGTAATTTTGTTATTGGTTACATTTTTGTCGACTTTGCAGTAATTAGACAGACATTAAGGAAACAATGGATGTACAGTGATGATTTACATGTAATATATAAAAAGTAACTGTTGTATCATGCTTATTTCTTATTTCTTATTTATGCTCATGCTTGGCAATCTAGATCCAGGCGACACTCATTTAAAGTTAGAAAATATATACCATGGATAAAGAAATCAGATACAACTTGTGTTTTCATACAAAAATCATTCTAGTAATAATTATTTCGGAAGAAATGCCAAGTATTGCTGTCAAGCAACATCAGTTCCGGGCTGGCTTCCAAACACTGGTGACATCTCCAGTGGAACCTGAAACAGCTAGAAAAAAATCTTGAGATCTTCTACTCCCGTGCACAGGTTAACCCTTTCATACCCCGCGCATTATAGGTACGAAAAGCTTGCGTTTTGGCGATATATGTTACATTAAAATTCTTCATCCTTTATCCAAACACACAATTAGTTGACAGAACACATTTGACCAGGATGTCACAGCATTGTCATTGTGATATGTAAGTACAGGGATTTATCTAGACCTGCTTAGAGCCCCAAGTCTGCAGCAGATGTCTCTAAAAAATTCCCAAATTGAATCACAAAGTTCCGAATTTGTGTTATATGGTAATAACTAATACAATGGTTTTGCAGTGGTGACTTGTACTTCACTGACCAATGTGGGCAAAATAATTATTTTTTCCCATATTAAATGCCAAGGTCACCTAGTTTGGAGTCCAGGGCCCCGTTCCACAAAGTGATTGTAGTGCTACGACTGTCGAAATTCTATGTATTGTATAGAAGTTTCGAAAGTCGTAGCGGTACGATTGCTTTGTGGAAAAGGGCCCAGGATAAATCCCTGAAATGTTTGCTATGTAGTGATGACATTCTTGTCCGTGCAGAGATGTGGCTATAGAGAAGGTGAAGACTGGCCTGGGGGGTGCTGCCGGGAACAAGGGTGGCGTGGCAATACGTATGTTGGTTCACAGCACGTCAGTGTGCTTTGTGTGTGCTCATCTGGCAGCAGGCCAATCTCAGGTCAATGAGAGGAACGCTGACTATGTGGAGATTACGCGCAAAATGATGTTCCCAATGGTAAGTGTTTCACCATTGTCCTTCACTGCGGGGTGGGGGGTCTGAAGTGGCGGGGATTGGTTTGATGTGCTACTTGTATGTATGCTACTTATACTTGGTACTGTACATCTGGAATATACTGTGTCATGAAAGCGTAGACCCCCTCCGTGGTCTAGTGGTAGAGTGTCCCCCTGGATAGTGGAAGGTCCGGGGTTCGATCCCCAACCGCGTCATACCAAAAGATGTTAAAAGACTGTACTTGTTGTTACCATGCCTGGCGCTTGCCATTAAGGGGTCAAAATAAAGACTGGTTGGATCGGAGTCTGTATACTGTGCCTGAGTGAGGTATTCATGTTAAACTGCAGCATGGTATCTCAGCACTATGAAATCAGCATTAGTCTGGACTAGTAAAAGCAGACACAGACACAGACACACAGAGAATTTTTTTATGTTTCATTAAAACTTAATTACTGGGATCACCGCCAGTGGAACATTACTTGTTCCCATGACTCCCTAATCCAGAATGTTTTTAATGAGAACAATTTCACTGGGAAGAGTGCATCTAGATTGCCAATGATTATAAGAGGTTTAACTGTACTTATTAGAGCCTCTGTGGTCTAGTTGATAGAGCCTCTGCCAGGAGAGCAGAAGGTCAGTGGTTTGATGCCCGGCCATGTTACCCCGTCTGACTTTCGGCATTAAGGGAATAAGACAGGACTGGTTGGCTCTTAGTATAACTGGTCTGAGTTGGGTATCCATGTTAAGCTGTGGCATGGTATCTCAGCGGACTAGCCCTATTCAACAGGCTTAGTCTGGACGAGCACAAGCAGCCACACACATTTGCACATGACTTAGCTATATATAAGTGCAATAATTTTGAACCCTATGTAAAAACCCATTTTACCCACCTTAACTATACTTACCAGATTTTCAGTACATGCCAGTTAGATGTGTTGGATATTATGTATCAGAATTGGGGCTACACTTTACTTCATGGGATTTCTTCCACAAAACTTATTTTGAATCAAGATGTAGATAAACCATTGTTCATGTCCTATTAACTTCTTCCACTGCCTGCCCAGCAGAGCCTCGGCTAAAGTGGGTTCTTTGTGGCTGCCATGTTAGTAATCGCATCAACACATGAGATTATTAAGAGTTTCGACACATATGATTACTCTGACTGTGTCTTGTACACATGATATACATACCTGATGTGAAGCATGTACAGATTACTGCTGGACTAAACATCAATATCATTATCAACCATCAGTTACAATACTTGTATTTCACTGGCATCAATTAAACAAGTCTTACTCTTAAATCCCCAATATACTTATGGCATACCCTCTCTGGCCAACCTTGCCCCTTTCCGCTACTTTCCGTAATCGCAAGGAAGACCCAGCTGTGAGTGTGGGAAATGGGGCAACTTCTGCCCCAACCGTAAACAGGCTTCTGCCTAAACACGATCTAGATGCACATTTTTGCGTCTTAACATTTGATCTGTGTTTAATTTTCGTTGGTCTTATATATGCTTAGCTACTTATTTAGAAGAACTGATACTAAATATATTCCAAATATATAAAACAACATATGGGTCTGGACTGGGCCTGGCTGGGTATACTGATATGAAATAACTACAAAAAAAAGTACGTCAACTGAAAGATTAGTTAAAACATAAAAATGAGAGGTGACATATAAATATATATGAAATGGTTTTCCTTACCTAAATTTTATAAATACAAAATCTTAATAATAAATAAGGAAATTGTATGAATAGAGAGGCTCAACATAAGAGAACTACAGAAAATATGGTCAGAAAACCCCTGAACACTGTAGTGGCACCTACTTGGCCATAAACCATGCAACCATCAACCTTTGCCCCATCAGTTCCAGGTGTCAGATATCCCAAATCTACTTCCTAATCAACAGGTGAGGCAATCAGACGGCACTGTTTGCAGTTGGTGTTTGACCTCTCTCCGCCCTCAGTTTCAATATTTACTCATTATGTCGGATGTACATTTCTATCATTTTTTGTTGAAAGTAAGGGTATTTTCAGATTTAATGTTTTCTTGCTTAATTGGAATATTTCAAGAACCCTATGTGACACAAGACTTGCCTTGTCAGACATGTATGTTCATGTAAATCCATGTGATACACATCCAACAATTATGTCTAAATATATCTTCAATGAGAGCACAGTGAAAGTTTATCTGACCCCAAATAATTAATAATAATGTAACTGCAGTATCATATGCATATGTTTTTTTGCTCATGTTTTAAGGGGTGTGTAAACTACTTGGACATGGATGGGAAAATGGAACAGTTTTTATCTGAATAGGCAGGTTTTCTTGGAAGCCTTTCCTTGTTTCTGTCTATGTCCTTGAAGATAAAGACTGCCACTATTGACCGGACTTGTGACAGTTATTATAATATGGAATTTATATATTTCCCTGTCAGCACAAAAATATAGGAAATTGTACAAATGTCCCCCATTTCCCGATATTTGCTACATGTCAAATTAGGTTTAGATAATCTTGGAAACTCTACGAGGGGCGTTCAATAAGTTTTGCAACTTCAATATAAGACCAAGTCGCAGAATATCTTTTGCACATTTATTTTTCAATATAATCTTCATTCACCTCAATACACATATTCCATTTGTCCTTCAAGCTTTTAATACCACTTTTATAGAAATCTGCAGATTTGCCCTCTAACCACGCCTCTGTGGCAGCCTTTATGTCCTCGTCATCCTGGAAGCGTCTTCCACGTAGGGCAGATTTCATTTGCCTAAAACAGGAAATAGTCACTGGGGGCTAAGTCTGGGCTGTACAGTTACATCACCCACCCTAAAGCCCAGACTTATATTATATGGAAAAATAAATTTTCAAAAGATATGCTGCTACTTGGTCTTATATTGAAGTTGTAAAACTTATTGAACGCCCCTCGTATTCTGCTGTTCTGCAGTGCAATTGACCACTCAGATATAACATGATATAATGCACATATTCCTTGTCATGGTAGATATACTTCCGCTTGGCTAGATGTGAGATCCTACATACATGTAGTGACACTTTAACATGAGATGAGATATCACAAGGAAATCTTGAACATATGACAAGGAAGAATACAGTTATTTACAAAGTTTCAAGGATGAAATGGAGTTCAGTGATTAAAGATGTGAGGGGGAAGGATAGACAATAAAATAAAAGATTGTCATGTTCAAAACAAGTTGTCAGCTGTTCAGGAAAGTCAAGGAAACATGATCAATTCCATGATAGGGTGGTATGGTTTTATATTTGTGACAAAACAGCAGGTTTTGCACATGCACACCACTGAGGTAATAATCAAGATGGTTAGCTGATAAGAATCTCAAAACTGATCAAACAGCCCTAGCTAAGAGAAATTATATTTCTGGACGATATGAGCCTTGGGGACCATGGACACAGCTCCTAGTCAGAGACAACGTATCGGGACAAGTTGTTGGCTCCCCTGTTGTTAAAGTTCTTCTGCTCTCATGTGAGTGGCGGCCAGATGGATGTAGCTGTCTAGCCCAAGTTGTACCTGTTGAGTGTAGAAAACTACATAATGCCATGCTTCCAGCTGTGCTGCTGTTCCCCCATCTATATGTATATATATATTTCTCTCTACAGGATGTGTGTATGGTATGTATAGCCACAGCATGTGTAGCATGCATGCATGTTATGTACATAGGCCCTCCTAGCAGGCTAGCTCAGTCTTGTCTCTACACATGATGTGTTCAGTAGCCAGGCCTCCTAATGCTTTCACTGTGGAAGGTATGTTTACGTGTGTAGACTCGAGTGTGTGTCGCCTTGTTGAATGTGTAGCCTGCACATCAGATGCTGGCTATTGACTCAGCTGCAAAATGCTGAGTTTACTTGGGTTGGCAGTGGCTGAATCGATGTATGTTTTGGAAGTTTATTACCTATCTCCTTGATTATCCAGTGTATTATATATCTCCATGTTATGTGAATCATCTCCTGCATCCATTTGTTGCCATGGTTTCGTTTGGGAAGCAGTGACACAATCTCCCTTTCTCATCAGTAACTTTTCACAGTTTCTTTTGCACGTGAAAATAATTTGATTGCACAGATACTTTTTAGGTTTAGGAATCAATATAAACCTATGTCAGCCAATGGGTCCGGGGTATTATATGATAATAGAATGGAAATATGATACACTGGATAATAGGAGATGCTTGACTACATCAGAGACCAGATACCGATGGTCTGACTAGATGTACCTGGGGCACATACATATTGGCCTTTGGTATGCTTCCAATACAGTACTAAGCCAACCCTGCTAAACTGCCAGCCAGACAAGGTGTACATCTATTCTAGTGACTTTGTTGTGTCTATACTTGTGACTTTAGTTTGTTTGACCTTGTAATGATTGTAACATAATGTGGCGTTCTCAGGGAAGTGTTTAACATGGTGACATACCGTGTGAGAGTGAAGGTTGTAGGTGCTTGTCTGTATGAGCCTGGAGTGTTTGCCGTCATGTGTTGTTGCTCACACAGTGTCACAACTAACATGCATGCTTCTAATCTCAAAGTCCAAATCAGAATTCAGTTTTTTAATGCTGATCACCAGTGCAAACTAATGCAAATTCTAACCCATTCCATGTACAACTGTTATGTCATTGCATCTGCAAGCCCCCTCCAGCTCCACACCAGGACATGTGTGCCTGGAGCCACTCACATATCCAACTAACTACACCACACAGATGCTCGTCAATGTAATGCAGAGATCATATGTTCTGACTGGCATGAAGCTAAGATATATCGAGGTCCATGCTTGCATAAATATGAAATGATCACTTCATGTTGATTATGATGTCACATAAGGGTGTTGAGAAGTTTTCTTCGAGGAATTGGATTCTTTTATATTAGTTCCAAATGTTCAAGTATTGTTTGTCTGTTTTTGTTTGCATGGTTTCTAGATTTCTAGAGTTCTAGAGTTGTGATATGTATAATTATGTCTCTTCCCCCTCACCCCCAAGGCAGGGGAGACATATTGTTTTCAGTTCGGTTCCTGTTGGTGTTGGCGTCTGTGTTCCCATCCTGTTCCAATTCATAAATTGGAAACTGTTCAGCGGAAAATGCATTGCATCAGTTGAACGGGTGTCTTTTGTTATTTTAAACTTTTTCAAAATTTTACTTTGTGTCAAATGAGGGTAGGGTTTGTTTCCGGGCCATAACTGGAAATTTTGTAGAAATTTTCAACATGAAGATGCCATATGCATTGCTCATAAGCAAATCTGGTGCCTTTGGCTAGTTTGTAGTTTTTCTCAATTTTATTTTGTTACAGGCTTTGTTTCAATTATTGACTTTTCATACTTTTCAATTTTTTAGTTTATTGTGTTGCCATGGAAACAATTTGGACTAAGTCTCAAACAAGGAGCATTTTGTTTTCTGCCAAAACTCATTAGCTAATGAACATTTCTGCATGAAACCAATATCTTTCCTATATTTTGCTATTATTGTTTTTCGTATTTGCCAACACATTTACAGTAACAACTTGAACTAATGTATCCAAAAAAAAGGAATTGGGAGACATGTTTTTGAGTTTATTCCTGTGTAGGTGATAAGTCTCCTATAGCCTGGACACCTTCAGCGCATTCATCAATTATATTTTGACCCTCCATGGCTGGGCAGAGAGTAGAACAGTCATACAATCCTTATGACAAAACTAATGTATTTCTAGCAGCAGTAAGTATTGTTTTGTCAACTATTCATGCCATGTTCTCGTTTACCTTTGTATTTGTTATGAAACACATTGTAACATAGTAACACCATGGTAACACGACGAACATCCTAGTTACACAACTGACATCCTGGTTACACGACGGACATCCTGGTTACACGACGGGCATCCTGGTTACATGACATACATCCTGGTTACACAACGGACATCCTGTCTACATGACATACATCCTGGTTACATGACGGACATCCTGGTTACACAACTGACATCCTGGTTACACGACGGACATCCTGGTTACATGACGGACATCCTGGTTACACAACTGACATCCTGGTTACACGACGGACATCCTGGTTACACGACGGGCATCCTGGTTACACAACGGGCATCCTGGTTACATGACGGACATCCTGGTTACACGACGGACATCCTGGTTACACAACTGACATCCTGGTTACACAACTGACATCCTGGTTACACGACGGACATCCTGGTTACACGACGGACATCCTGGTTACACGACGGGCATCCTGGTTACATGACATACATCCTGGTTACACAACGGACATCCTGGCTACATGACGGACATCCTGGTTACATGACGGACATCCTGGTTACACAACTGACATCCTGTTTACACGACGGGCATCCTGGTTACACGACGGGCATCCTGGTTACATGAGGGACATCCTGGTTACACAACTGACATCCTGGTTACACGACGGACATCCTGGTTACACGAGGGGCATCCTGGTTACATGACGGACATCCTGGTTACACAACTGACATCCTGGTTACACGACGGACATCCTGGTTAAATGACGGACATCCTGGTTACACAACTGACATCCTGGTTACATGACATACATCCTGGTTACACAACTGACATCCTGGTTACTTGACAGACATACTGGTTACATGACGGGCATCCTGGTTACACAACTGACATCCTGGTTACACAACGGGCATCTTGGTTACACGACAGGATATCCTGGTTACATGACATACATCCTGGTTACACAACTGACATCCTGGTTACACGACAGACATCCTGGTTAAATGACGGACATCCTGGTTACACAACTGACATCCTGGTTCTACGACAGACATCCTGGTTAAATGACGGACATCCTGGTTACACGACTGACATCATGGTTACATGACATACATCCTGGTTACACAACTGACATCCTGGTTACTTGACAGACATCCTGGTTACATGATGTGCATCCTGGTTACACAGCTGACATCCTGGTTACACAACTGGCATCCTGGTTACATGACATACATCCTGGTTACACAACTGACATCCTGGTTACACAACGGGCATCCTGGTTACATGACATACATCCTGGTTACATGACGGACATCCTGGTTACACGACGGGCATCCTGGTTAAACAACTGACATCCTGGTTATATGACAGACATCCTGGTTATATGACGGACATCCTGGTTAAATGACGGACATCCTGGTTACACAACTGACATCCTGGTTACATAACATACATCCTGGTTAAATGACGGACATCCTGGTTACACAACTGACATCCTGGTTACTTGACAGACATCCTGGTTACATGACAGGCATCCTGGTTACACAACTGACATCCTGGTTACACAATTGACATCCTGGTTACACAACGGGCATCCTGGTTACATGACATACATCCTGGTTACATGACGGGCATCCTGGTTACACAACTGACATCCTGGTTACATGACAGACATCCTGGTTACACAACGGGCATCCTGGTTACATGACGTACATCCTGGTTACACGACGGGCATCCTGGTTACACAACTGACATCCTGGTTACACAACTGACATCCTGGTTACACAACTGACATCCTGGTTATACGACGGGCATCCTGGTTACATGACGGACATCCTGGTTACACGACGGACAACATGGTTACACAACTGATATCCTGGTTATACAACGGGCATCCTGGTTACATGACTGACATCCTGGTTACACGACGGACATCCTGGCTACATGACATACATCCTTGCTACATGACGAACATCCTGGTTACACAACTGACATCCTGGTTACACAACGGGCATCATGGCTACACGACTGACATCCTGGTTACACAACTGACATCCTGGTTACCCAACGCTCATCATGGTTACACAACTGACATCCTGGTTACATGACAGACATCCTGGTTACATGACGGACATCCTGGTTACACAACTGACATCCTGGTTACATGACAGACATCCTGGTTACATGACGGACATCCTGGTTACACAACTGACATCCTGGTTACACAACTGACATCCTGGTTACACAGCTGACATCCTGGTTACACAACGGGCATCATTGTTACACGACTGACATCCTGGTTACATGACAGACTTCCTGTAAGTCTAGTGTGTATTGAAGGTACGAACCATACAAGTGTGTTATTTGTCTGGTGTAAGATTTGTGTGTGTTGGGTATGGTATAAGAATCGTGTGTATTGCAGGGCCGGACTATCTCTAGTCACGACTACGTGTTCTGGTGCGGAGACTTCAACTACCGCATCGACATGGACATAGACCAGGTGAAGGACCTGGTCCGCAGTGAGAACTGGGCAGCACTGCAGCACTATGACCAGCTCAATGTACAAAGGGCGGAGGGCAAGGTAGGTCCTTTGTCTTCGGGATCACTGGTTATACTTCCTTGAGTCACTCACCCCCAATGCAACATTCTTGGACGTGACATTAAACCCCATTTCATCTCATCACCCAATGTTACAGGAATTGTCATCTGTTTATGGGCTTCCTTGAGATTCACATACTGTTTCACACATGTTGATCTTAATTACAATTTTGAGTACATTTTTCTTCTTCCCATCGTATCCTAGTTGTTTTCAGCTATGAAAAATCTTCAAAGTAGGTCAAGGAAGGGGAGTAACCCTTTGTATTCTTATCCCCCTAATTGTATTTTACTTTATTTCGCTGATGTCACCCAAATGATAATACCAGTACTTGTGATAAGGGACCACTTTGCAAAACAACACGTTTTTTAAAAGCTTTTCGACCACTGAAAATGTGATCTTCAGGCCTCAAAGTTGCAACTAAAATGGGAGCCAATGCGACCTAAAATTCAGTTTGTCTACTGTCTAAAACTCAGAGGTAGCCAAATGACTACCTTGAAAAATATCTAGTAGCGACTAAATTCTATTGCTACACATCTGTAGACACAAAAATAAATAACAGCTGATATTGGAAAACACGTCTGCTGATAATTGTACTCACAAATAATTCCTTCTAAAGTCGACAATGAACCAAAATACATAAATATAAATGTAATTAGTACTTTATTTCAGTTGACAATGCTCATTGGATAAGCAAGGATATACCGATATAATCAAGTAACATAAACTGCATCATTGTTCGAGTCAAAAAAAAAAAAAAATCAAGTACAGTTTCCACTAATATACAAAACTACTGCTATAACTTGTACATATTTTAAAAGTTATTTGATAAAGATCATTTCAAATGCTTTTGGCTACCTACAATATTGGCTTGACTTTTAGATTTAACCACTGGCTACCTGGAAAAAAATACTTGTAGCCATATGGCTACTTGGTAACAATTTAAACTTTGAGGCCTGATCTGGCAAAAGAAATTGATTTGACCAATGATTTAAACAAAAGCTTCTATCTACCTCTCATGAATTAAATCATCACAGTTGCATTGTATGAAGTTTCATGAAAACACTTGTATTTCAATTGCCTTCATTAGAATTGCCAAGAATGATGTGTCTCTAGAATTGCCAAGAATGATGTGTCGGTATGTGTGCTTGTTGTGTAGTCGTTTGCTGGATTCAACGAGGGGAAGACCAACTTTCCACCAACCTACAAGTACGATCTGTTCAGTGATGACTACGACACCAGCGAGAAGTCCCGCACACCAGCGTGGACAGACCGGGTGCTGTGGAGGCGCAAACACCTCCTGCCCAGAGAACGTAAGTGTAGACGTAGAGCTGGTGATGTGTGAGAGTGTAGATGGTAGAACCATAGCTGAGTGTGTAGACGTGTGTGTGTGTAGATTGTAGATGTGTGAGTGTGTAGATTGTAGATGTGTGAGTGTGTAGATTGTAGACGTGTGTGTGTGTAGATTGTAGATGTGTGAGTGTGTAGATTGTAGATGTGTGAGTGTGTAGATTGTAGACGTGTGTGTGTGTAGATTGTCGATGTGTGAGTGTGTAGATTGTAGATGTGTGAGGGTGTAGATTATAGATGTGTGTGTGTAGATTGTAGACGTGTGTGTGTAGATTGTAGATGTGTGAGTGTGTAGATTATAGATGTGTGAGTGTGTAGATGTGTGTGTGTGTAGATTGTCGATGTGTGAGTGTGTAGATTGTAGACGTGTGTGTGTGTAGATTGTCGATGTGTGAGTGTGTAGATTGTCGATGTGTGAGTGTGTAGATTATAGATGTGTGTGTGTAGATTGTAGACGTGTGTGTGTAGATTGTAGACGTGTGTGTGTAGATTGTAGATGTGTGAGTGTGTAGATTATAGATGTGTGAGTGTGTAGATTGTAGACGTGTGTGTGTGTAGATTGTCGATGTGTGAGTGTGTAGATTGTCGATGTGTGAGTGTGTAGATTATAGATGTGTGTGTGTAGATTGTAGACGTGTGTGTGTAGATTGTAGACGTGTGTGTGTAGATTGTAGATGTGTGAGTGTGTAGATTATAGATGTGTGAGTGTGTAGATTGTAGACGTGTGTGTGTGTAGATTGTCGATGTGTGAGTGTGAGTGGGAGCCAGTGTTTGAGGCTTCACAGACTACAATAGAAAAGAACAGTTAGTGTTTTAACATGGAACCCAGCTGCTTACATGACCCATTCAATATTATCAAGAAAGACCTACTGGTGCCAAATAATCTCTTTGTTGTGTATAAGAAGAGACGGAGGAGGAGTGTCATGTGAGGAGTGTTGTGTTACAGAGGAGGAAGATGACCCCAGCTGGAGTGAGGGGAAGCTGATACTGTATGACCGGGCGGACCTGAAGACATCAGATCACAGGTAGCTAGCCAACACCCACACCAATCACTGTCTTCTCCCTTGTGTGCAGGCTCTTGGGTGACAATAGGTCATGCCAGATAACTGGACTGAAACAACACCTACTGATGATCCTACTTTCTAGTGTTATTTTTAGTGTTATTTCTAGATCATGTGTTCCCATTCTACATCTTCATAAATGTCTTAGGTCCTGGAAAATGTTTTATCAATAGTGTCTCATTTCCAGGAGCCCATGTATGTTTTGTTTTTGACTATGACAAGAACCCCTTGACTTTTAACAGGTGCCCCTTGTGCACATTGACCCCCTTATTTCTTTATTGGGACAGTTAGATTAAATAAGAAATATTTTAAAAAGATGTATTTTGGACAAAGTTAATTATCATACCTCCATTGCAGAAAGAGATCTAATTGGTTCACGTGATCCTGACAAAATACTGTGTATCCCACCTTGGAGGGGAATACATTTATCTGCAGAGGAATAAATCTCTTATGTCCCTGCACAAGAAAGAGGCAGAATAAATCCTTAATACCCGCTTCAAAGCTAAAAGCTACACGCTATGTCAATGGAAGTCACTTGACATAGCACAAGCTAACCTCAGCTCAATCGAACAGCTGTTTTCTATCAATTGAATTTTTTTTCAATGTCATATTAAAACATGTCGGTAAGATAAATTCCTTGTGGCGAGTATTACAAAACCTAATGCAGGACGCATAAAACTCAGTGTACCCCTCGTGCTCCTGCTACAACTTAAAATGTATCCCGCCTTGGAGGGAAATACATTTCTCAGCAGGAGAATAAATCCCTTATACCCTGCCACAAACAAGACAGATTATACATGGATTTCTAAGGGGGAGAAAATTCATAATATCCTGCTTGGTGCAAAAAGCAACACGCTTTTTCCAAGTCAATGAGAGTCAGATGACAGAGCACAAGTTAACCTCAGCTCAATCGAACAGCTATTTTCAATCAGTTTGGTATTGTTTTAGTTCTTTGACATTGTCAAAACTGTCTGTAAGATAAATTTGTTTTACCAGTATCACTCGGTGTACATGTGGTGTTATGCATCCCTCAACCACATGTACCCTGAGTGATACTGAGCTACAACTTTTAATACTCTTATTACAGCAGAAATCCTTATTCAGACTCAGGGTACTGCCTGAGTCCTCTGTTGGACACACAAGTATCACCCTGTGCCAGTGCTATGTCTGCTTTCTGATTCAGGCCTGTGCTGGCCCTGCTGGACATTGATGTGCTGGCTGTTGACGAGGCTTGCAAGGAGAGAGCGATGCACGAGGTTGTAGCTCACCAGGGACCACCAGATGGCACTGTCATCGTGTCACTGGCCTCAGGGGCGGAGTTTGACGATGATACTATCGACCAGGTGGTCAGCACTTTCACTGAGGTGGGGGACGTCACAGTGGTCAGGTGGGTCGCACAACAGCATCAACACACGACACACCCACCCTCATTGTGGCCATTCCTTGGGGAATTCTGTGGTTGAATTAGTCCACAGTATTTGTTTGTTTGTTGTTTAACGCTGCACCCAGCAATATTCCAGTTTTATGACGGTCCATGGTCCAGACTTGATTATCTCCAGGCTGCCATGATTATCTCCAGGCTGCCATGATATTACTGGATTGCTGACTGTAGTGTTTGACAACATTCACATATTGTTTAGGTCCAATATTCTTTCTTAAAAATGAATCCTAGCTACCAGCAGTGTTGAACTAAGATGAACTAACATCATGTTCTTTATGTTTGGTTATTGTGGTATTTTCTTTCGTACAACTGAAGGTTATAACTAACAAGATGTCAGCATGAATCGAGGCAGTTTCTGTACCAGTTGTTTAAACAGAATATATGATCTCCATTCACACAGATTTGTGGGCAGTGACATGTGGGTCATCTACAAGAGTGGTGACAGTGCTCTCGACGCCCAGGCTCTCGACCAGCAGCAGGTCAACGGGGAGACTATCCGGGTGAGACTATGCACTCCAGACTGGCGTAATGTCATCGAGAAAGAGCTGAAAATGTGTGCCCTCAACACAACAGCTTTGTACAATCAGTTCTCCAACAGTCTACTGGGAGACGACTTCAGCATGCCCGCCATGGACTATGTCATGGATGATGGTGAGTACCAAGTGGCCCCTGAAGACTGTTCTTGTCGTCTTTCTTGCTTTTAAAGGGACTCCATGAAGCCAGATTAGACTGGATCTGAAGATGATTATAAACAAGGCTGTGGTCTTCTGGCAGCAACCATGGCTTTGCACCAGAGGTTTCTCCTCCAACGAGGATAGTTTCCTTGTATGTTATCATTGACAGGCCTCCTGTTAGCTGTCACACAGGCCTTCTGTCAGTGTGTCTGTTAGCTGTGACACAGGCATTCTGTCAGTATGTCTGTTAGCTGTGACCAAAGCCTTCTGTCAGTATGTCTGTTAGCTGTGACACAGGCCTTCTGTCAGTATGACTGTTAGCTGTGACAAAGGCCTTCTGTCAGTATGTCTGTTAGCTGTGACACATGCATTCTGTCAGTATGTCTGTTAGCTGTGACACAGGCCTTCTGTCAGTGTGTCTGTTAGCTGCGACACAGGCCTTCTGTCAGTATGTCTGTTAGCTGTGACACATGCATTCAGTCAGTATGTCTGTTAGCTGTCAAACAGGCCTTCTGTCAGTGTGTCTGTTAGCTGTGACAAAGGCCTTCTGTCAGTATGTCTGTTAGCTGTGACACATGCATTATGTCAGTATGTCTGTTAGCTGTGACACATGCATTCTGTCAGTATGTCTGTTAGCTGTGACAAAGGCCTTCTGTCAGAATGTCTTTTAGCTGTGACACATGCCTCCTGTCAGTATGTCTGTTAGCTGTCACACATGCATTCTGTCAGTGTGTCTGTTAGCTGTGACAAAGGCCTTCTGTCAGTATGTCTGTTAGCTGTCACACAGGCCTTCTGTCAGTATGTCTGTTAGCTGTCACACATGCCTCCTGTCAGTATGTCTGTTAGCTGTGACACATGCATTCAGTCAGTATGTCTGTTAGCTGTCAAACAGGCCTTCTGTCAGTGTGTCTGTTAGCTGTGACAAAGGCCTTCTGTCAGTATGTCTGTTAGCTGTGACACATGCATTATGTCAGTGTGTCTGTTAGCTGTCACACATGCCTCCTGTAAGTATGTCTGTTAGCTGCGACACAGGCCTTCTGTCAGTGTGTCTGTTAGCTGTGACACATGCATTCTGTCAGTGTGTCTGTTAGCTGTGACACATGCATTCTGTCAGTGTGTCTGTTAGCTGTGACACATGCATTCTGTCAGTGTGTCTGTTAGCTGTGACACAGGCCTTCTGTCGGTATGTCTGTTAGCTGCGACAAATGCCTCCTGTCAGTATGTCTGTTAGCTGTGACAAAGGCCTTCTGTCAGTATGTCTGTTAGCTGTGACACATGCATTCTGTCAGTATGTCTGTTAGCTGTGACACATGCATTCTGTCAGTATGTCTGTTAGCTATCACACATGCCTCCTGTCAGTGTGTCTGTTACCTGTGACACATGCATTCTGCCAGTATGTCTGTTAGCTGTGACAAAGGCCTTCTGTCAGAATGTCTGTTAGCTGTGACACAGGCCTTCTGTCAGTATGTCTATTAGCTGTCACACAGGCCTTCTGTCAGTATGTCTGTTAGCTGTGACAAAGGCCTTCTGTCAGAATGTCTGTTAACTGTAACACAGGACTTCTGTCAGTATGCCTGTTAGCTGTGACACAGGCCTTTTGTCAGTGTGACTGTTAGCTGTGACACATGCATTCTGTCAGTATGTCTGTTAGCTGTGACACATGCCTCCTGTCAGTGTGACTGTTAGCTGTGACACATGCATTCTGTCAGTATGTCTGTTAGCTGTGACAAAGGCCTTCTGTCAGTATGTCTGTTAGCTGTGACACATGCCTCCTGTCTGTGTGACTGTTAGCTGTGACACATGCATTCTGTCAGTGTGACTGTTAGCTGTGACACATGCATTCTGTCAGTATGTCTGTTAGCTGTGACAAAGGCCTTCTGTCAGTATGTCTGTTAGCTGTGACACATGCATTCTGTCAGTGTGACTGTTAGCTGTGACACATGCATTCTGTCAGTATGTCTGTTAGCTGTGACAAAGGCCTTCTGTCAGTATGTCTGTTAGCTGTGACACATGCCTCCTGTCAGTGTGACTGTTAGCTGTGACACATGCATTCTGTCAGTATGTCTGTTAGCTGTGACAAAGGCCTTCTGTCAGTATGTCTGTTAGCTGTGACACATGCCTCCTGTCAGTGTGACTGTTAGCTGTGACACATGCATTCTGTCAGTATGTCTGTTAGCTGCGACACAGGCCTTCTGTCAGTATGTCTTTTAGCTGTGACAAAGGCCTTCTGTCAGATTGACAACATATGATGAAGAAACAGTTAATGTTTTTAGTCATTCAGACTTTTTCATCACTACATGTTTAAATGAGCTATTTCTCATGACCCACGGCATGGTCCATATATAAACGTAATTTGAAAAGTGATGGTAGACATGATGAAATGAAAATGTTCAAGGGATGTTAAACTGAGTATCAAGGGCCAGTATACTGAAGTGTCATTATTTCTGATATGGAACATGAAGTATGAAGTGATATGATTCCGTCTGAGTCTAGTTCACCGTGAGTCCTATTCACCATGTTGTCATGCTCCAGACGAGGGGGACCTTCTCGCTGGGGACGACGCCATGCTGCCCGCTCCCCTGGCTCCACTGTCCAGGAACAGCAGTCCATCATCCTCAGGTCAGTCCCCATTTTCCCCCTCAACCGGGTAACAGTGTGCTCCAGCATGCATCTTCATGCATTGTTCACCAGGATCTGATATGGCACATAACCTAGGCTATATATTCATATCCTTTTTATTACAATATGATAAAATAAATGTGAAGCTGAATAAGATGTATACAGCGGTAGTAATGAGCCTCTACCAGTAAGGAAGCTCCCCCACCCACAGATTCTTCTTGTGGGATCAGTGGGGGATCAGCCCTTGTCATTACTTCTATATTCAAAGTTAAAGATGCAGGGGATCCCTAGATTCAGGTACCATGGAAAATAGCTCATGGACCCCAGGACCCACCCTCTCCTTTTTAGTTACTTAATGCTGGGATACTTCACAGGGTTTCACTTACATCGTCAGTCTTCCATACTCTGCATACACTGCATTTCTCCATAACAGTTTTAATGAAAATATATTAAATGGTGTCGTCATGTGCCCTTTACTGTTGATCATCATGATGTCCATCTGTGTCATGCATGTATTGTTGTAATTAAGCTGTATTTCATTACAAACCATATGCAATGTGATGTTAAACCAAATTCAAACACCACCCAACCATCCACCAACTCCCTCACTCACCCGACCACACCCCCACCCACCCACAGAATCACTCAGGTGTATGTGACATATTGTTGTTCCCCACAGGCCGCAACAGTCCAGCTGTACAGGAGGAAACACTGACTGACATCCCTGGGGGACCCCCAGGAGGACCCCCGAGTCGACCCCCAGCAGCCCCCTCCCGCCCTGACAAACCTCCGCCACGCCCTGCAGCTGGCCCTGGTGCTGGTGTTGTGCCTCCGGGTGGGGCTGAGGGCCTCATTGTTCCAGAGCCTGGGGCCAGACTTCGGAGCGCACCTTCGCCTGAGGTAGTTTGAATGTGAACATCTCACTATCTGTCTTTATTTTTCAAATCTCAGGATAACCTAATACTAACTCTACTGTTTAGATGCCAGATGCATTTACACAGGAGTCTCCAGGGATGTTCTGTAGAGATCCCTGTACACTTCACTTTTAGCACCAAGCATGTGGAGGCATGTTCTATCCTTCACTTCCAACATTGGTCCAACTTGGGGCTGTTGGTTTCAAATTTGCATACCACATTTTGTGACACTTCTGTACATGCTACTCTCTCAACCACTGGGGCCATATAAATACTGTGGAGAGTCATGTTTTGGAAATCTTAAAATTGGGAAATATTTAAAAAAATTAAAATTATCTGTTGCCGTGCCCTATTGAATCTATATCATTTCAAAGTATGCAAATTGACTTAGATGTTGTTGACACTATTAGCTGTTGGCCCGAAACTTGATAATCCTCCATTCCAGCACATGCAAAGCATGATGACACAGCTTTTACTGAGGCATGTGTGATTTGACTCCTTTCATTTATCGTAAACAAACATATATTTTTGTATTTGTCACAGATGCCCCGCAAACAGCCTCCACAGAGGCCCGGTGCCCCTCCTGCTAAGCCTCCACCCCCACAGCGTCCCCCCGGGGGGCCACCTAAAGCATCATCTAGTCAAGGCCCCCCAGGTGAGATGTAACAATGTGAAGACTTTATTCCAGTTGTGTCATCAGACATCTTGGACACACACACCCTTGGATGGTTGTCATACATTCTACCGTAACACAACACTGAAGAATGCTTGCTTCTCATTGGTCAAAATCAGGTGTCTATGTCCATTTGATACCTCAAAGTCACCATGTTTTATCACCCCAAAACATTGCGTATGAAAACATTGATCTATCGACAGTGCGTATAACAATGGCTGCTGTAAGCTGTTTTCAAAGCCTTCTTGACGTCATGGTGTAACCAGAGTGGCTTGTTGAAGGAATCGGGGGACGCAGAGTGATCTTGCTAACACAAATTTGTCTTACCGACATGTTTTAATGGGACATTGAAAAAGAATTAAAACAAATTCAAATTTATAGAAACAAGCTGTTCGATTGAGCAGAGGTTAGCTTGTGCTATGTCACTGACTTTCATTGCCTTTTGAAAAAAGTTTTTCAGATTGTAACATGACATAATTATGGTAACATTCTTATGTATATACAACAACTCTAAACTACCTAAATTCACACATAAACCTCCCTGTGATAAACGGACATCTATCCAGCGATGGTAACACTGACTTGCACTCTCTAAGAGAGGTGACGAGTCACATGAAGCACCCTATCACTGAATATCGGCAGCTGGGGCAAAACAATGGAGACCCAGAGAAACAACACAGCCAGCGAGCGCAATGGTGACTACTATTGTGATATTGCAGCAGGTTAGATTGAGTGCTTGAACTAGAACTAAGACTCAGGAATTGAAATAGAAGCTGAAATTAAAATACACTTGATAAACATAAGTACATACTACTAAAATGGTAGAATGGAGAGAAACATACTGTGATTTTAAATTTCAGGCCATCGCACTGTAGATTTGATACCTTTAAACATATGCATTTGAAATTTACATAGAAAAATAAGAGGTATCAGATCTACAGTCAAATTTCAAATCACAGTTTGTTTATCTCCTAACTTTCTTTTTGGTAGCTCATCTGAACTCTTTTGCCACCTCATATGATGTCAAAAGCCATAACAATCCCATAATTTTGACATCTTTGAATACACAAGGCCTATGTAGAAACTGTATATGGATGGTCTTAGCAACAGTGCACGCAGGATTCTGATCCGACTTTAGACATGATAACCATTTTGTCATTCTCATGTTTTGTCATTTATGTAAGAAATATGTAGTATGCACAATAACATGATTATTGGTGTGAAATGGCCTTTGACCTATAATACAAACTGTGTACAGAAATACCACTTTATTTTGACCCTTCATGACCTTTCATTAAGCCGTTGTTTGTTGTTCTTTGTTATGATGAATGAAAGCTTGCTGAAATCATCATTTTGAAATATGTTAAGTTTGACCTTAAAAATTGTAAATAACATATTGATAATATTCAGATTAGCTACAGAGCCACATAGCTGTAATTATTTGAGTGTAAGCTTGGGCAGTATTCCAATCTGTTTGGTGTTGGTAAGCTTGAATCAGGTTGTAAGAAATGTGTCTGCTGCCTTGTGACCTGGATGAGTCAAGCACTGGGAATGGCACTCTCTTGCAACCTGTGGGGACGGAAGAAGCCATGGAGCCAGACACCTCAGCAACAGAATTTGCACATTGTCATGATATAATATAATGTCAGAGATAATCAGATGATTAGGTTTGATATTATTTTTGATCCCTATGCCAATAAAAAAGTTGTTTAAAGTAGAATGTCTTGGCAAGTAGATTGTTGTGTGCACAGACAAAAGATCAACTAGTGACCCACACAGTCATAATAAGTATTAATTTTTAGTTTGCCACATTTAAATTTTGTTTTTGTTTGTTTGTTTGTCTTTCGTTGCCCAACTCAGCAATATTCCAGCTCTATGACAGCAGTCTGTAAATAATCAAGTCTGGACCAGACAATTCTTTGATTGACATCATGAGCATCGATCTACACAATTGGGATACAATGACATGCATCAATCAAGCCACCAAATCCTGTTAGTCGCCTCTTGCGACAAGCATTGGTTGCTGAAGACCAATTCTAACCTGGATCTTCATCGTTCTATATTTAGTAACTACAGTTACTTTAAAGTATAGTATGACCGTAGTATTGGTGTCTCTTCCCGCCAGGTTCTCCCGGGAGGAATGTGGGGAGAGAGGCCCCCAAGATCCGCCAGCCCCTCCGCCCCCCACCCTCAGCCAACGTGAAGGCCAGGAAGGGAGGTCCCCGCGTGGTGAGTTAAACAGGATCTCCTCCTTCTGTTGTGGCTTAGATCTGACCTGACCACAGTGTGGGGTGCACTTCTGAATTTAGTGTGGCTAGAATCAAAGAATGCTGTGTGATTTATGTCTTTGTTCATCCGTGTTGTCACCATCTTAACTATCATTTCAAACAGTTTCATGCAGAATGTGAGATGTTGATATCCAATGTTAACCAAACCATGAAACAGTTTCTGATCTGAGTGTCACTGTGTGACTTCTACCTTTAGCAGCCCCTACATGTGTTCACAGTTGCAGCAACTTAACTTTGGGGCATGGAAATAAAGTATTTGATTTCTGATCTTCATCTGATGATCAATAACCCAGTGTGTGTTTCTATTAACCTCGCATGACCTCCCTCCTTTTGTAGATCTCTTCTATTGGTCTCCCCACCAACGTAACACATCACACACATGCTAGCAGTATTGAAGAGGCACAGAAATTGATAGGTAACCTGATGGGTGGTAACCAAGGAAACGCGGATGTTAATTTACCACCTCCCATGATGCCAAGCAACACTCCTGCACCTGTTGGAGGTATGTATGATACACCTTTCAAACAGCCAGTTTCTGTAGGTCAACATCAGAATTATGTCATTGGTACATCATTATGTTATTCAGATATTTAATTTTGCTAAGGAATGATACTGGAAATCAAATTATTTTTTGTACAGTGCAAATGAATCATTATTTTCTGAGAACAGAAGCAAATACTGAAGGACATAGTTTTCTAAAGTGGAAAGAAGATAACACTGATTGCACAGTTTCACTAGTTCAGTGACTGCTATTATTTTCGTTCTCTTCCAGCCATGTCTTCCTCCACTTCATCTTTGGCTGCACCCACACCAATCCCCCGAAGTCGGACTGCCCAGGACATGGCAGGTCCTGACGCCTCCTCCATCAACCAGGTCCCTCCCAAGCCGATGCCGAGGTTCCGCAGTATGGAGAACTTGGCGTCGGTCAAGTCCGATGGGGAGGTTGCTGGAGCCCCTGCCCCTGTAGCCCGACCCCGGCCAGCTCCCAGAAAGGATGTGCAGAGTGCTGTGATATCTCCAGTCTCAGACCCGGATGATCCCTTCGTAGTGAAACCACCACATCGACCACTGTCTGCAGTGGGCAGACCACCTCCCCCTGTACCCAGTGGTCCACCTCTTGGATCTCGATCAGAAGAAACATCTAGTCAAAGTTCTCATAATATTTTAGATGCTCCTTTGTTTGGGGACACCAGCAGTGAGCCCGACCCATTTGATACAAGTGCAATACCCAAGTTTCTCAGTCATGACCCACCCCCTGTCCCCATACGACCGCCAGATGGGACATCGAGATCGCCCATGTCCGATCCTCCATGTCCGGACGTCAGTCCTCCACCAACACCTCCAGCGCTGGAGACATGTCCGTCGGAGCCTGTTGGAGGCCCTGAGCGAAGTGAACCCTTCCAATCCCCCTCCCCAACACACTTTGGAGACTGCCCCCAGGAGTCCCCTCCTGCTCCACCCAGCTGCCCCACTGAACCACCCCCACCTCCACCCAGGCTAGATTCATTTCCACCAGAAGTTGAAGCCCAGGATTCAGATAGGTCCCAAAGCTCAAATATGCCCCCTTCTATACCCCCACCCAATCTACCCCCTCCCCCTATCCCTGTCCGCCCTGGCCCACCGGATGTTGCCCCTCCCCCAATGACGGGTCCTCCCCCTGTACCCAGTCGCCCAGCTGCAGTACCCCCTGTCCCACCAAGACAGTAGGAGGCATCATGGCAGGGTGGGTGAACAGCGCTGGCTACACACTGTACATGGAGGAGCCACTTCAAGTAGATCTAGACAAACTAGGCATGTCAGGTGCTCTAGCTGTAGATATCACAGATCGCTGTGTATAGTGTAAGGAGATAGGGTATTTATTTCATCAAAAAGTCCTGTACTTGTTAATCTAGAAAGTCACCTGTGTGAGAATTTAGAATGTTGTGAAGACATTCATTGTAAATAACACATGGTATTTATTTTACACACCAAATGGTAGGCAACAATTTTCTGGTTAGTGTAAATGGATCTTTGAGTAGATGCGTCCCTAGTCTTGCCAGAGTGAGAATTCCCCCGTCCCCCAGCATAATACCACCTGTGTAATAGAAGCTGTTTGTTACACTTTTTTTTGCAAGATTTGTTATAGAGACTTTGTAGATATCTTTTTGTACATTGTCTTTTTATACAGCCATTATTGGTTTACATTGTTAATGTGGACTTTTTAAGATGTGTATGGTATACTTGTTTTACATATATGCAACTCTGAGTTATCCCCCTTTACGTGTAAGGAAATTAACATTATACCAAGGACGAAGTAGGATAAAGGGCCTATTAGGTCCACTGGAAAACTTTTAAATAATAGCATAAAAATGGCTGAAATGGATTGTTTTTCTTCTTTAAACTTTCAAGTTTTGGACTCCTGGCTAGCTAATTTCATAAAGTTCATAAGTATGGTTAATATGGCCCCAAAAATGTTTGAACCTCATGAGAATAAGACAAAGTCTGTGTAGTCTCTGTGAGATCTTTTTGCAACATGTTTGTATTGCCTTCATCTAGATCTAAGTCAAACAACTTGGGTCCAAGAATTCAAACTTACACATTAGCATTAATTAAGCACCACCCACTTTCTTGGATATGTAGTACATTAAAAAATTGACTGGTGTGATTCATTGTTGGAAACATGACAAAAGAGTTGTAAATTGACAAACAGAACGCCTGGTACTCTGCCATTCCCGCTGCAGTGCCAGGGACAGTTCATTCGGGGTCTCTAGCTCTCACTTGGTGGCCAAGATAATGCCAAAGGTGTTCAATTGAGTTCACATCAGGGTTTGTCATTACTTTTTGGAATTGGATTTTGAAATAGGTGGTGCTTATATAATGTACATGTGTATATTCGAATAAAATTCTTGACACCTTGAGATCAGACTTTTAAATACATTATAGCCCAACTGTTACATTTACTGTTGTCACAAGTCCAAAGGAAACAGGACAAGGTCTGATGCTCATCCACATAAACACACATGCTTACTTTCAAATTCTTTCTTAGAGTTTTGCTCATTTCTCAACTAATGCAAATTCTGTGGTCCTAAAAAGGTGTTGTTATTCCCCGTCCAAAGGTAGATAATTTTAAACAATCACATTTTTGCAGTAACGCTCGGTAATTAATGGCTCCTACATATTGCTACTGCACAATCTCCTCTCATGCCAGTGTACCAAGACTATCAGTGTCCTCTCCCGGATACATGTATATACAGCGCAGTAACTTAACCTGGTCACATAAGGCTAAACGAATCCTATTACCTTGACCAGAACCCCCTTTAACACAACTGGTACAGCCTAGTGAACATCATTGTCCAGATGTTTTTGGTTTGGTTTGTTGTTTTACGCCACACTCAGCAATGTTCCAGCTATATGACGGCGGTCTGTAAATAATTGAGTCTGGACCAGACAATCCAGTGATTGATGTCATGAGCATCGATCCACACAACTGGGATCGATGACATGCATCAACAAAGTCAGTGAGCTGACCACCCGATCCCATTAGTCACCTCTTACGACAAGCATAGTCGCCTTTTATGTCAAGAATGGGTTGCTGAAGACCTATTTTACCCCGGATCTTCTCGGGTCTTGTCTAGATGTGACCAATGATTTACAGTATTCTATTCAGTGCTATGCTGTATACAGCTTCTCACAGCAGACAGCCTGTGATATTCTTGTTTGTTTGCAGCAGTTGTTTGATCCATGTGAATCTCATCTGTGTAGTCAGCACCCCATCCGCACAATGCTGAAGGCTGTATTCTGTCTATACGTAGACACAAAGAACTTCCATGTCCAGCTCACATTCCACAGGGTCATGGAATATTGGCCAACTTGCTCATTACTATGTGGATATATTAAGCAAATGAAGTGTTGAAGCAAAAGAAAAAGTAATAATTTAGATCATGTTCTATTAAATCAATTCAATTCTTCTGAACTTACAAAAGACTACTTAAACATTTCCCTGTCTGATTTGGCTGGTCTGACCTGCTCAGTGGTCCAGTCATTGTAGGTGCAGCAAGTCTCTGTAGAGTTGTGTCCCTTTTGAATGCCAGAACCCTACGATCATGATGCGTGGTAAACATCCATGACCTACTTTAATTTGGGTTTCCCACTATGTTAAACTGAAACTATGATAAAACTAAAGAACTATTCAAATTGGTGTTCAAACCCAATTCAATCACTCAATTCTGCATTGTCCATCTTGCTCCTTCATTGAAATGTGTTGTGACCAACTGGGGCTAACTCAGTCGACTTTGGTGCTTTTCAAGTTTGGATCTCCATACACAGGGAGTTGTAGTGCCCCCTCCCCATCACGTCTGTGCCCACCCTCATCAAACTGCATCTCTATACAGAGCTATGGTTCAGTGTCTGGGGTACACCCACTTCTCACAGATCACACGGATCTCTATACACAGGGAGTTGTAGTGCCCCCTCCCCATCACGTCTGTGCATCTCTATACAGAGCTATGGTTCAGTGTCTGGGGTACACCCACTTCTCACAGATCACACGGATCTCCATACACAGGGAGTTGTAGTGCCCCCTCCCCATCACGTCTGTGCCCACCCTCATCAAACTGCATCTCTATACAGAGCTATGGTTCAGTGTCTGGGGTACAACCACTTCTCACAGATCACATGGATCTCTATACACAGGGAGTTGTAGTGCCCCCTCCCCATCACGTCTGTGCATCTCTATACAGAGCTATGGTTCAGTGTCTGGGGTACACCCACTTCTCACAGATCACATGGATCTCTATACACAGGGAGTTGTAGTGCCCCCTCCCCATCACGTCCGTGCCCACCCTCATCAAACTGCATCTCTATACAGAGCTATGGTTCAGTGTCTGGGGTACACCCACTTCTCACAGATCACATGGATCTCCATACACAGGGAGTTGTAGTGCCCCCTCCCCATCACGTCTGTGCCCACCCTCATCAAACTGCATCTCTATACAGAGCTATGGTTCAGTGTCTAGGGTACAACCACTTCTCACAGATCACATGGATCTCCATACACAGGGAGTTGTAGTGCCCCCTCCCCATCACGTCTGTGCCCACCCTCATCAAACTGCATCTCTATACAGAGCTATGGTTCAGTGTCTGGGGTACAACCACTTCTCACAGATCACACGGATCTCTATACACAGGGAGTTGTAGTGCCCCCTCCCAATCACGTCTGTGCATCGCTATACAGAGCTATGGTTCAGTGTCTGGGGTACACCCACTTCTCACAGATCACATGGATCTCTACACAGTCGTAGTGTGCCCCACTCATCATTGTTCATCTACAGCTACTGCTTCCCTCGAGGTGTCAGTGACTGCAAGCATAATCAGTAGGGACCACAACAGTGGCATACTTTCCCTTCGGATAATTTTTATGAATGTAATTGGCTTATTTTCTTGATTTATGGCCAAAGAAATCACATACTGACATGGTTATGTTGGTTTTCATTTATCCTTATTCAGAGATGTACATTTTCTTCAAAACACACAACACACTTAATCAATGCCAAAAGTTGAATGTTTCATCTGCTGATGTGTAGGTAGAGAAACATGTCGTCCTTTCAGTGTGGCAGCCATCTTGGTTGGCATGTAATGGTGGCAGTGGCCTGTTGACGTTATAACTGTAGTAATAGAAGTGAGCATCTTGGTGCAGGCGTACCTGTAAACTACATCACATACAAGTAGTACATGCCATAGTTCTACCACATAGGCTGATAAAACGGGCAAAATAATGACTTACAGAAAACTGATGAGCCCTTTTATTTTCATGTGGAAAAATGGCAGGAAATGATTGCTTCTGGATATATGAATTTTGACTTAGTGAAAAACATTGTCCCGCATGTTTGTTGGTGAGGACAGATTCAGAGAAGCAACCATCAATGTTTTTGTTGGCATTATCTAGTCTTTCACGTTGTATGGAGAAACATTCCATGACTCATGACAGTATTGTTGTTTGTTGACTGTGTTGATGTACATAGCCTTCTAGGAACCACACTGTAGACACATAATAAAACATATCAAACATTCACCTGGCTTCACTCGTCTGTCACTGAAGGGTTCACATAAACGGATGATGATGATGATGCGATCGGTCATCACAGACTGACTTGTTAATCTCCCTATCTTGGTGCATATGTCCTTCCCATATTATTGAAACCTATGACATTTATGTAAGCCCATGACAAAGGTGTTAGTCAAAATCATGCCTTCCTATCATGTTTCATTTCTAAAACTAAGCTGACCAGGACAGTTTGGTCAATTTGGAATAATAACCAAAACGCAATTTTCCCATAATTTCACTTTACATAAAATATCTTGACTGGACATATTGATAATCTGATCATAGCTGAAACCAGACCCCGAGTCAGATCAGAGCACGGCTTAGCACCAACCCATTGAATTAAAATAGGTCTTTGACCTCAAAACTATCCACCCACAAGGCATGGACGACAAGATCTTGTCCTGAAGTTCCCAACCCCTCACACTATCCATGGACATATTCATGTATAAACAGTAGGTATTTATTTAAAATCTCGTCTTTCTCAAACCCAACCAGCTTCAAATATTAACCTAGCACTGTGAAATGGTGCAATATGACAATTAATTTTGGACAGACTCTGACACTGTGTCTACTGCATCGTAATGCTCAGATCTCCAGCTGTAAATTGTAACTAGACAGGTGTTTGCATGACATGTGAAAACAGAAGCAGACATCCCCACCATTTCCTGAATGCCCTAAAAATGTCCCTATCAGAAACATGTATCATGAACCATTTGACTTCCCCGCATCAGACAATGGACCTCACACATGCCCAATCAATGCAGTACAACAGGGAGCTACTTAATGATGTGAGAAAAAATAGTTGATACTTTTGAAATAAACTAAGCCAATTGAACTTCATGTTCCTCAATGTCGATCAAATAACGTGCTTGTATGCGATCTTCCGCTCTATTCCACTAGACCATGAAGGCAGTCCCTAAAACAAGATATTGTGGTTGGTAGGTAGGTAGGTAGTTTGTGTTTTATCAGACCTCAAAAATAAGTCGTGAAACTATAAACTCCTAAATCCTATACATCATCTTGTGGTAAGCACTGACTGAACCAGACATAATGCGTCAATGATGTGGAGTTTAAAATAGTTCACATGACGCTACTTTTTGAGAACCACATTAATAAAAGTATTATTCTAGGGATTGATGTCTGCAATTGATTGAAGATACTCACATGTGTTTCAAGTTTCAGGAGCACAATAATATGTGATTTCGCTTGCATTCATGTGTGACCAATCCATTTACTGGATGTATTCCATGGATGATAGAGAAATAGGACACTGGTGTAAATACATTTTTAATCAACAATCCATCAACAGCATAATATCACATCTTTCTGACACCTGTTTTGTCATAATAGTTATATTTCTATGTCACATACAGCACGTACAGTAAGAAAGGGGAAGAGTTTCGCTACTTGATGTCTTCTTGTGGAGATGCTGTCATCCTCAGAATTGTGGCCTCATTGTAGTTTCCTTGAAAGCCCTTCAGTCAGCTCTGCCTAGCAACACAGTGATGGTACATCAATATTACCTTCACAACACTGTTGTCATGACAATACAGAAAGTGTCCTTAATGCCCATTCTTCATTGTCAGTGTTCAAACTGGTCATGGCCATGTTCATCATTTGTTGCATTCAGAGTTGTTTATCTTGTTTCTTTGCCTTCATTTGCCACAATACCAAGTTATGTTTACTTTCAATTCTCTTCAGCAACTCTGAAACTGAGTGTGATGATTTATTATATCCGTCAATAGATGCCACATTGGCACCTCTGAAGGAGGCACAAGCACTCTGCACTAGATGAGGGAGTTTCTGTGGCCGCAGCCCGGGTCTCCTGTTTGACAACTTGCTTCCATTCTTCCTCCTGTGTCCTCCAAGCTCACTGCTCTCTACACTGCAGATAAATAATATTTCACTCAGTTCCATTTTGAAATGAACAATATTGCCCGCAACAACACTTGTTCAAATGCATTATGAAATCATGTGATATTGTCAAAATTAAAGACTGTAGGGTAATCGCTGCTTTTTCTAGCTATTTGTGGGGTTAATCTGATGCGGGATTTAAAACAAATAATAAAATTTTACACTGCATTGAGTAATATGGCGCCTATATTAAAGCTATATCACAGCTATCTCTACATAATGAAGTCGGTACCAGGGTCCACTTGCACAAAGCGATCTTAGTGCTACAATTATTGTATATCCTTAAGATCGCGATCTTAGGCTTTGGCTACAATCGCCATCCACTTGCACAAAGCGATTGTAGGCTAAGATCATTGTAAGCTACAATCGAAACTTACAATTGGTCCGGACCAATCTTAAGTAGCTAAGATCATTGTAGTCCCTGAATAAACATGACAAAATGGCATGCAAGGCTTGGTCTGTTTCACATAAATAATCTGCTTTACGTTCAAACATTGCCTCTTTATTTTGTTAGTGAGTGAGTGAGTATTGTTTTACGCCGCTTTTAGCGATATCACGAAGAAATGGGCTTCACACAATGTACCCATGTCGGGAATCGAACCCGGGTCTTCGGCGTGACGAGCGAATGCTTTAACCACCAGGCTACCCGACCGCCCCCTTTATTTTGTTAAACTTTATAATTTGAATCGACACTTAAACAACATGAAGAACGCACCACAGATTTAACGTCAGAAATATCGTTAATTACCATAGTTAAACACATAACTATCGAGTCGATAGCTGAAAGGAATATTCCCATCCGACTCAATACTGAATGAAATGCGAAACAACATACCTTTTCGCTAAACAAGGGAAGGATAAAAACCTAAGTCGCCCCGCAAGGGATTTGTAACATCCGTGACCTTTTCAATAAATCAAGGGCAGCTAATCTTAGTTTATACTTTAGATGGGAGTGGTTTCCCTTTGTGTAAGCCCGTAGAGTACAATCTACCTTACCCAGTGTATCAATGGTGTTGAATCGCTGAGTTCTCCCTATATTTCTTTTGGGTCACATTCGTGTCAGTTATTTTGTCTTTAGTTTATCATTAAATTAATCTACAAATAAATACAAGCTGAAGAGAAAATCATACATGTTTAAATCTAAAATCAAATGGGACAGGTACGAGAGGTTAAATATCAGAGTTTAAAAGAAAAACAATACATGTATTCATCAAACAAGCAAATATACATGATGAAAAATTTGATTTTTTTGCAAAATATCCCATTAATAGCAAAAATAAAATTCACACTTTTAAAAAAAAAAATATAAAATAATACCCAGTGAATATATATAAACAATTGCTTTCTCGAAACATTATTCATTATTCTTATTTCCCGTCTATGCGTTTTTGAAAGTTCCCGTCTTTCTGTTTTGAAGTGGTAGTCATAACATCCTTTGTTGTAGCAACGAAACGAAAACATGGTGGATATATTTAGGATTTTACGAAAAGCTCCCCCAAATAGATGACGATCATGCATTTACGTGTTATGGTTTTAGGAAATATTATTATTATTATTTATTTTAATTTTCATAATAATTGTGTTACTAAATAATGCCTATTTCCTTCAAATAATTGGGACCTTTCTTGAAACTGTGCAAAGTGCGATGGAGGGAGGTACGTGTTGCGTGTCGTTACCGGTTCCACTTATTGTAGGCGGGGGACTGACCACAAGCTAGGTGGGGGACAACACTAGATAGGCGGGGGACTGACCACAAGCTAGGTGGGGGACAACACTAGATGGGCGGGGGACTGACAACAAGCTAGGTGGGGGACAACACTAGATGGGTGGGGGACGACTGTGGCCACTAGATGGGTGGGGGACAACACTAGCTGGGTGGGGGACTGACAACAAGCTAGGTGGGGGACAACACTAGATGGGTGGGGGACAACACTAGATGGGTGGGGGACTGACCACAAGCTAGGTGGGGGACAACACTAGATGGGCGGGGGACTGACCACAAGCTAGGTGGGGGACAACACTAGATGGGTTGGGGACCACTAGATGGGTGGGGGACTGACCACAAGCTAGGTGGGGGACAACACTAGATAGGTTGGGGACCACTAGATGGGCGGGGGACTGACAACAAGCTAGGTGGGGGACAACACTAGATGGGTGGGGGACTGACAACAAGCTAGGTGGGGGACAACACTAGATAGGCTGGGGACTGACCACAAGCTAGGTGGGGACAACACTAGATGGGTGGGGGACGACTAAGGCCACTAGATAGGCTGGGGACTGACCACAAGCTAGGTGGGGGACAACACTAGATAGGCTGGGGACTGACCACAAGCTAGGTGAGGGACAACACTAGATGGGTGGGGGACAACACTAGATAGGCGGGGGACAACACTAGATGGGTGGGGGACAACACTAGATGGGTGGGGGACAACACTAGATAGGTGGGGGACAACACTAGATAGGCGGGGGACAACACTAGATAGGTGGGGGACAACACTAGATGGGTGGGGGACAACACTAGATAGGTGGGGGACAACACTAGATAGGTGGGGGACAACACTAGATAGGTGGGGGACAACACTAGATAGGTGGGGGACAACACTAGATAGGCGGGGGACAACACTAGATAGGTGGGGGACAACACTAGATGGGTGGGGGACAACACTAGATAGGTGGGGGACAACACTAGATAGGTGGGGGACAACACTAGATAGGTGGGGGACAACACTAGATAGGTGGGGGACAACACTAGATGGGTGGGGGACAACACTAGATAGGCGGGGGACAACACTAGATGGGTGGGGGACTGACCACAAGCTAGGTGGGGGACAACACTAGATGGGTGGGGGACTGACCACAAGCTAGGTGGGGGACAACACTAGATAGGCGGGGGACTGACCACAAGCTAGGTGGGGGACAACACTAGATGGGTGGGGGACAACACTAGATAGGCGGGGGACAACACTAGATAGGTGGGGGACAACACTAGATAGGCGGGGGACAACACTAGATGGGTGGGGGACAACACTAGATAGGTGGGGGACAACACTAGATAGGTGGGGGACAACACTAGATAGGTGGGGGACAACACTAGATGGGTGGGGGACAACACTAGATGGGTGGGGGACAACACTAGATAGGCGGGGGACAACACTAGATGGGTGGGGGACTGACCACAAGCTAGGTGGGGGACAACACTAGATGGGTGGGGGACTGACCACAAGCTAGGTGGGGGACAACACTAGATGGGTGGGGGACAACACTAGATAGGCGGGGGACAACACTAGATGGGTGGGGGACAACACTAGATGGGTGGGGGACTGACAACAAGCTAGGTGGGGGACAACACTAGATGGGTGGGGGACAACACTAGATAGGCGGGGGACTGACAACAAGCTAGGTGGGGGACAACACTAGATGGGTGGGGGACAACACTAGATAGGCGGGGGACAACACTAGATGGGTGGGGGACTGACCACAAGCTAGGTGGGGGACAACACTAGATGGGTGGGGGACTGACCACAAGCTAGGTGGGGGACAACACTAGATGGGTGGGGGACTGACCACAAGCTAGGTGGGGGACAACACTAGATAGGCGGGGGACTGACCACAAGCTAGGTGGGGGACAACACTAGATGGGTGGGGGACAACACTAGATAGGCGGGGGACTGACCACAAGCTAGGTGAGGGACAACACTAGATGGGCGGGGGACTGACAACAAGCTAGGTGGGGGACAACACTAGATAGGCGGGGGACAACACTAGATAGGCGGGGGACAACACTAGATGGGTGGGGGACAACACTAGATGGGTGGGGGACTGACAACAAGCTAGGTGGGGGACAACACTAGATGGGTGGGGGACAACACTAGATAGGCGGGGGACTGACCACAAGCTAGGTGAGGGACAACACTAGATGGGCGGGGGACTGACAACAAGCTAGGTGGGGGACAACACTAGACGGGCGGGGGACGACTAAGGCCACTAGATGGGTGGGGGACAACACTAGATGGGCGGGGGACTGACAACAAGCTAGGTGGGGGACAACACTAGATGGGTGGGGGACTGACCACAAGCTAGGTGGGGGACAACACTAGATGGGTGGGGGACTGACAACAAGCTAGGTGGGGGACAACACTAGATGGGTGGGGGACTGACCACAAGCTAGGTGGGGGACAACACTAGATGGGTGGGGGACTGACCACAAGCTAGGTGGGGGACAACACTAGATGGGTGGGGGACTGACAACAAGCTAGGTGGGGGACAACACTAGATGGGTGGGGGACTGACCACAAGCTAGGTGGGGGACAACACTAGATAGGCGGGGGACTGACCACAAGCTAGGTGGGGGACAACACTAGCTGGGTGGGGGACTGACAACAAGCTAGGTGGGGGACAACACTAGATGGGTGGGGGACAACACTAGATAGGCGGGGGACTGACCACAAGCTAGGTGGGGACAACACTAGACGGGCGGGGGACGACTAAGGCCACTAGATGGGTGGGGGACAACACTAGATGGGCGGGGGACTGACAACAAGCTAGGTGGGGGACAACACTAGATGGGTGGGGGACTGACCACAAGCTAGGTGGGGGACAACACTAGATGGGTGGGGGACTGACAACAAGCTAGGTGGGGGACAACACTAGATGGGTGGGGGACTGACCACAAGCTAGGTGGGGGACAACACTAGATGGGTGGGGGACTGACCACAAGCTAGGTGGGGGACAACACTAGATGGGTGGGGGACTGACAACAAGCTAGGTGGGGGACAACACTAGATGGGTGGGGGACTGACCACAAGCTAGGTGGGGGACAACACTAGATGGGTGGGGGACTGACCACAAGCTAGGTGGGGGACAACACTAGATGGGTGGGGGACTGACAACAAGCTAGGTGGGGGACAACACTAGATGGGTGGGGGACTGACCACAAGCTAGGTGGGGGACAACACTAGATAGGCGGGGGAC